CTTCAATATCTGCATGTAGGAAATGGTCTGTTCTCTTAAGCATTTTATGTTGTCAGATGACCAATGGAGGTGCCAAAGAAACTTACATGTCCATTGTCACATCCAACGAAGGCAGTTGCATTGTAGTCCATGCCAGATATTTTTCCAGTGGTGCTAAAACTGTTTGGAAACGGCATAAAGTTTGATTTAAGTTGAGCAAGGAAATAGGAAATATGACGAAAGAGCGAGACGATCTATTCGTATACTGTATGTCTGGATGATTGTAAATTTATTAATTTGGGTAATAAGATGTTATTATTAAGTTCGCTAGGTTCACCACAAAGTTAGACTAACTGCAGTTTAATAATCCGTGCCATGAATATTACCTGAAACCTCCATAGTTATCTGTTTGAACTTTTATAAGATGGTAATAAGCAAATCCCCATGGGCATGGCTTTTGCAAACAAGAATTCATCATAGTCTGAAAAATACAAGTATCTACCATTCGTTGATTCTGTTCATCAATTCTACCATTCATTAATTTCACTCATTATTTAACGAGAAAGTCATGGGCGTCCTCAGGTCATTGTCTAACATCAATCCCTCCTCGATGTTTATCCTATAAATAACCTGTAACAACAGTCAATATAGCCAAGGAGATCCCCCAGGGTCTCCTCTGTACATTTATGTGTACATACCCATCCAAATTTCAACAAATGATGATGAGCGAAACCAAACTTGGAACATCGTAACTTTGTAGTGACAATTTTCTCTGTTTGTAAATCTTTGACGTACGCAATATTTCCAATCCCAGCAGACCTCTGGTCGCACCCAGCAGTTGTCATCATTAAATTCTTTAAAGGACGTTTTGACTGAAGTCTAAATGACCTGTAAGGAAAGCCATATTCAGTTACGTTTAGGTTAAAAAATGTGTCACAATTTAATTTTTCAGAAAAGAACAGTTTGCATTGTCTGATAAACTGAAACATAACTGAATTATGTAGTTCAGTAGTCAAAACTGAAAATCATTGTCATTCTGATTGCACAAGTGAGATGTCATTCTATGCATATTAGATGATGTCATTCACCTCAGAATTGTATATGATTTCTGGTGAAGGGTTGCCCATACCATATGTGTTCGTGACTACACCAGTTGGTAGATAAATCTAAACTCGTACTCGTACGCACACCACAATATACTTACCATTTTGATTGTCTCTTACCAATGGGTTACAAAAATTACATTATTTCTTGACCTTGTATGCATTCGTATTCCTTCAATACCCACCAGTGTGCCTTTGTGGCCTTGAAGTCCTCGTGTGTTGCCATTTGTACCCTGAAGTCCAGGATTGGTGCGTCACCAAGCGAGCTTGTCCAATGGGGTTCGCCGTATGGATCAACCGGCTTGTTATTGGATGGGACTGTCCACGTGACGGAGTTATTTTTTCGTCCAATCAACAGGAATCCTCCCCCGTCTGTGCTCATATCACACCATGCCTATATGATAACCAGACAAAATCAACCTCGCACCCAGGAACTTCACTTCCTGACACGTTTGCGCTTCTTTAAAAACATTCACCAATAGTTTTCAGAGTGAGCAAAAGTCGAAACTCCTCAATTTTCATAACTTTTACATTACATTACCCTAATAAATGTTAAAATAGGGGGCACTCAGAGACTGCATATGCATACCTCCGCCAGCAAATTAAGTTATATGCCATGCATAAATTATACAATAAGCTAATTACGTATTCAGTGTACATTTCTCAGTGAAGCAAGACAAACTTTTGATAATTTCTCATCTAAGTTTTATCCAAATTTAATCAAAATTACATCGATTTGTCCATTTGATTACATTTGATTTATTTCTATGAGCCGAACAAATTTTTGTATTAATAAGTTGGATATTTTTTGAGTTACACAAACACACAAACATGTACACATACAAACCCAAATATACAGCTATTTCAATTAAGGTTGTCCCCGAGCAAAGCGGAAAAGTCATTAATTTTATTTAATGAGTTAGTCGTTTCACTTTGAGGATTTATCACGAAGAACGTTAGGGCCTATCACTGCACATTTTTACTGACAGAGTGTGTATATAACTTCACACGCTCACTTTGTCACTGCACAATTTAGTTATTACTGCACACTAAAATTAGGTTTGATAATGAATGTATGATGTTCACTAGAATTGGGAAGAAATTGTCATTTGTTTCAGCGTGTTTTGCAGCCAACGTACCGTCTGTAGATTTCCACTTGTAACCATTTTTGTCTTTCACACAAATGAGGATGATTTCGTCATCAGTTCTATCTTTGACCAAAGTTACTTTACCATGAGTTTTCTTGTTACACGAACCTGGATCATAGCCTCCTGTTGCTGGAATACGCTAGAGTGAAAACGAATTATAAAGATAACGTAAATTTAGCCCCCCTCTCAAATAAGGCCCCTCTCTAATATGCCTCTTGAATTTTTAGGGGTAGAATTTAATTTAATTTACCATTTTATTTTATTTTACATTTTTCTTTCCCCATTAAATAAATGCCAAATCATACCTTTGAAATAAACCAAATAAACAGCATACACAGTGTAATTTGAACCTGAATTTACTATGTTTGAATATCATAATTATTGCACCTGCTATCTATCTCATTATTCTGTAAATAGTTTTGGTTACTTGCAATTGAATATTTTTTATAAACATAAATCATTAATGAAACGGCCCCTTGGCTTCTTGTTCAACGTAGTGTTAGACTGTTAGTATGCATGATTACATATTTTTAAATTTTTTTCCACAAACTTGTAAATAATTAACTGAACGGCTCTTTGAAAATCAGTTTTTTAGCTGAAAAGCTACTGTTTTCAAAGAACTTTATACAATAACAATAGACTTTACTGTGTTTTAGTCAAGTCAATAGTTCCCCCTCTTATTAAGCCCTCCTCTCAAATAATCTTTCCTTCTGAATGCGCCTAAAATACCCCAGAGCCCCAATATGCACGCAATATTATACAAAAAATAATTCCACCTCTTGTGTAAGCCCCGTTTGTCCAAGGTGACTGACCTGTTTAACACCAGTAATGATTGCCAAACCGCAGAAAAGCAGTGTCCAAGAAAAAAACATGACTGCGGCTTCAGTCTGCAAAATAATATATTGTGGTATTCATATAAAGTCGAACTGCGAATTGCGTGCTGAAAATGAATATCTGAGTGTCCCAACGAGGAATTAACATATACGCCAGCGCTTTAACTGCCTGCTATTCACCGAGTTCATTTTACAAAATCATAATTATTTATGTACACTCCATCAACGGGCTATGCAGCCAATGTGGATTTCATATGGCTTGTGAAATAGTTTGATTTCAGTTGGTGTCTTGTTTTTAAGTTTAAACTTTTAAGTTTAATATAATCTGCGTATAAGTTCCATAGTCGTGAGCCCAGTCATGCCTTAGAAGATCGCTGCACTTTTGGCAACCTGAACCATTACGGCGTAAAAATCCCAAGTTCTTACGAATCAGCTGATTTTATTTACATTAAATATCCCGGGAGTCTAAAGTTGACAATTGGGAAAACTTCAACCCCGAACGAAAGTTTATATTAATTATTTTGTTGACAAATTAAGGATTTAAGCTATGTAGTTACCTGAGTTAATTTTTGGTCCCTCGAGAACACTTTGTTACTTCAAAGTTAACTCTCCAACACTTCTCACAAGTTGTGACCAATGGCAATGCGTGCCTTAGCTTTTATGAATAAGATAAAACCATAGCAGGAAGTCGTAAAGTAGTTTTGCTGGCTCATTTTCCCAGGCAAACGAGAAGTAGAACAATGCTCTGTAATACGAGTTTCAGCTCGCTTCTGAAAAGGATCCTTTAAAGTTTGAAGGCATGACATTTGATCCGATTTCCATAATGCTAGATTATTCAGTTCATTTGAATAGCACTTATCTTCCTGTCATCAGTTATATATCGTAACATTAACCATTACTGATTTAAAACTGTTATGGCCATTTGCTTTGATTTAGATTATGTCCAATTTATCAGTCGTCTAACAGAAACACTGCATGTCAGGTCTGATGAATCCTGTCCTCTGTTACTGTGCATTGATCCCGTCCACAAAACTGTCTACGCGTATGCCACAAGTCAACATCACTTGATATTATGCGGATAACTGAAATTTCTCTTTAATTGAGTTGATGCGAGTGACGTGTATATAGTGAGCATATGGAGTGTCTGCAATAAACTTCCTCTAGAACTTGATCAAAAATCCATCTTGGATTTGACCAAAACTTTATCTAGTCCTATAGGACTTGAACAAAAATTCATCCAGTGCTCTCGGATTTGACCAAAACTTTATCTATAGTCCTATAGTCTTGATCAAAACTTCATCCAGTCCTAGGACTTGATCAAACTTCATCCAGTCCAGAGACTTGATAAAAACTTCATCCAGTCCTAGGACTTGATCAAACTTCATCCAGTCCTAGGACTTGAACAAAACTTCATCCAGTCCAGGGACTTGATAAAAACTTCATCCAGTCCAGGGACTTGATACAAACTTCATCCAGTCCTAGGACTTGATAAAAACTTCATCCAGTCCTAGGACTTGATCAAACTTCATCCAGTCCTAGGACTTGATCAAACTTCATCCAGTCCTAGGACTTGATCAAACTTTATCCAGTCCAGGGACTTGATAAAAACTTCATCCAGTCCTAGGACTTGATCAAACTTCATCCAGTCCTAAGACTTGATCAAACTTCATCCAATCGTAGGACTTGATCAAAGCTTCATCCAGTCCTAGGACTTGATCAAACTTCATCCAGTCCTAAGACTTGATCAAACTTCATCCAGTCCTAGGACTTGATCAAACTTCATCCAGTCCTAGGACTTGATCAAACTTCATCCAGTCCTAGGACTTGACAAACTTCATCCAGTCCTAGGACTTGATCAAAACTTCATCCAGTCCAGGACTTGATCAAACTTCATCCAGTCCTAGGACTTGATCAAACTTCATCCAGTCCTAGGACTTGATCAAACTTCATCCAGTCCTAGGACTTGATCAAACTTCATCCAGTCCTAAGACTTGATCAAACTTCATCCAATCGTAGGACTTGATCAAAGCTTCATCCAGTCCTAGGACTTGATCAAACTTCATCCAGTCCTAAGACTTGATCAAACTTCATCCAGTCCTAGGACTTGATCAAACTTCATCCAGTCCTAAGGACTTGATCAAAACTTCATCCAGTCCTAAGACTTGATCAAAACTTCATCCAGTCCTAAGACTTGATCAAACTTCATCCAGTCCTAAGACTTGATCAAACTTCATCCAGTCCTAGGACTTGATCAAACTTCATCCAGTCCTAAGACTTGATCAAACTTCATCCAGTCCTAAGACTTGATCAAAACTTCATCCAGTCCTAAGATTTGATCAAACTTCATCCAGTCCTAAGACTTGATCAAACTTCATCCAGTCCTAGGACTTGATCAAACTTCATCCAGTCCTAGGACTTGATCAAACTTCATCCAGTCCTAGGACTTGATCAAACTTCATCCAGTCCTAGGACTTGATCAAACTTCATCCAGTCCAGGGACTTGATAAAAACTTCATCCAGTCCAGGGACTTGATAAAAACTTCATCCAGTCCAGGGACTTGATAAAAACTTCATCCAGTCCTAGGACTTGATCAAACTTCATCCAGTCCCAGGACTTGATCAAACTTCATCGAGTCCAGGGACTTGATAAAAACTTCATCCAGTCCTAGCACTCAATGAACAAAATTTTATTCAGTCCTATGACTTAATCAAATTTCATCCAGTCCAAGGATTTCATGAAAACTTTATTCTGTCCTAGGACTTGATCAAAACTTCATCCAGTCGTAGGACTTAATCAAACTTCATCCAGTCCTAGGACTTGACGAAAACTTCATTCAGCCTTGGGCATTGTATAAAACTTCATCCATGGGACTTGATCAAAACTTCATCCAAATCCTACCTTTATATAAGCCTCTTGCAGGATTTGATCAATGGTTGCATTATTCAATCTCAAACTCATTAATACTTCATGAGTAAATTAGCCAACCAAATCGCTTCATTTTGCTCACATGATAATACTGGATACCTGATGAAGTACATTGATCCAATCCTACGACTGGACCAAAATTAATTCAGTCCTTGGACTGGATCAAAATTAATTAAATAGTGATTTATTCGCATGAGATGTCATTTCAAATCCACCAATTCGGACTGGACTAGATTTCAAGTCCTCGCATTTTGATCCAGTCCTCGGCTTCGCCTCGGACTTGATCAAATTGCACGGACTTGAAATCTAGTCCAGTCCTCATAGTCGGATTTGAAATATTACTTATAGTATGGTTGGCTTTCTATAGGTATTAATTTGTAAATAACTATAGGAAAATAGGATTTAAAAACATGCTCGTCTCTTTACATTTATAGGCAGCCGAGAAGCCCTCGGAACGAAACGCGAGGGTGCCCCGCGCGCTCGCTCAGCTTAGCCACTGATCCATATAAAAACACTGTAGTGTTGCTATTTTTAGTTATTTGCGCCTGGGTACGAGGCTGGTCTAAACCTGCAATTTCACAGCTTTTCAGGAATTTTTACAAATATTGAAAAATACTAATATCATATTTAAGCTCAAATTAATATACGCTTGGACCTATAGCCTATATAAGCAATAATGCAAAAAGACTTTATTTGGCAAAACTTTGGACAAACACAGACTGTAAGACGGCACCATTAATAATGCAGCAGTTTACATATTGTTTACATAAATTATATAGGTTCAAGCCTATAACATATTAATTTGACATTAAATATGATGTTAGTATTTTTCACAACCTCGTCCCCAGGGCCTTTGAGCTGACTTCGTGCTGGAGAAGGCCCTGGCATCGGCTGACACTTTACACCCCAAAATTTGGGGTGTGAATTAATTAAGACCACTTAATTTCAATGCGCGAAATTGTTTTATTCTTCAAGATTTCCTATACTTGCTGCTCCAAGACAAGGTAAATGTTATATATTTTTAATCCGCGAGAAATAAGCTATCGGAAAATGTTTGAATCAAATTTATACGATCAGAAATTTAGAAGCTACGAGTCAATTTGGCAGCCGCTAGACTACACTTTAATTGTTTATGTATTAAAATATTTTGAAATCCTCAGCACAAAACTTTGGATAATTTTTAAAATACTCAACCAATATACCTCATTCAAACATATTTGAACTCCCGGTTGTATAGCGATACAGATTATATAAAGTATGTAAAGGTTTGAGCAAGTTTTCACCAAATTTACCGACGAAATTTGATGGCCACATTCTAGACTAAATTTTTAATATGTCTCGACTGACGTGCATAGTCCATTCACTTTTCTTCATTTAAAAATTATTTTCTATCTTAACACCAGACACATTATATATTTTTGAAATCCTTAGAAGATTTTCTTTCGAAAGATCAGCAAACAGAGTCTCTACAACAAAAATTGGATGAGCTTACATAAGATTTGTAATGTTGTTGCCATGTTGTAAACAATTAAATTGTAGTCTAGCGGCTGCCAAATTGACTCGTAGCTTCTAAATTTCTGATCGTATCAATTTGATTCAAACATTTTCCGATAGCTTATTTCTCGCGGATTAAAAATATATAACATTTACCTTGTCTTGGAGCAGCAAGTATAGGAAATTTTGAAGAATAAAACAATTTCGCGCATTGAAATTAAGTGGTCTTAATTAATTCACACCCCAAATTTTGAAGTGTAAAGTGTCAGCCGATGCCAGGGTCTTCTCCAGCACGAAGTCAGCTCAAAGGCCCTGGGGACGAGGTTGTATTTTTCAGTATTTGTAAGAATGCCTGAAAGCTGTGAAATTACAGGTATATATAAACCATTAATTTTTCGTTTCCAGGGATTCTCGGCTGCTTATAAACGTAAAGCGACGAGAATGTATTTATGCCAAGTTTTATTTGTTTGTCTGTATATATGCAAATTTTTACTATGACAATAAATAGTATGTGACCTTTTGAAAAGATACACCTGTCATAGAAAAAGTTGGCAAAATACAAAAAAGTGTTCGTCTGTAGATGGGTCAACAAAGAAAATTCGGTATGCAGTATCTTATATATAGTACGAGAAGCATTTCATATCTTATATCTAAATTCATGCAAGAAATGTGTCCACATTTCAGCTTTTTAATTTCACATTCTGGCGCGCGGACAATGATTGAATTGCTTACATAAAGTACACTAATATACATAGATCATAAGGAGCATAATACTTACTTTATTATCTATTACATGCAGCTACAAGAAGTAGTATAGGAATCGCTCTGGAGAAAAGTGGCAAAGTGGTACTCTTAATAAAACTCGCGTATATATCGAAAATTTCGTTTTGGAAAAGATGGCAGGGAACGAAACCACGATAAGGCCAACTGCAGAATACGATATGTATCTGGAAAATTGTGTTTGGGAAACACTAGAATTTCCTGTTGTCGTTCGCTTTCCTAGCCGATCGTACTACGCGAGTCACGTTGTCTGTTTAATCTACAATATTATTCAAACATTTTTTATTATAACCCTCAACTACTTGGCCATGCACGCTTTTTATAAATCCTCACAGTTGAGACGAAAAACAACGCTATTTCTCGTTATGGTTTTATCTGCAAACGATTTTCTAGTTGGGCTTATCGGGGAACCGGTGTTTTTCCTATGTTTGAGCAGAGAAATATTTGGAAATATAAATTGTCTGAGTGAAATGTTGAATTTTGTGACCTTGGATATATTACTTGCTATTTCTATAATGACATTTCTGGTGCTGAATTTTGAAATATACTTGTCAATTATTCATCCTATATTTCACAGAACGAAAATTACAAACAGGCGTGTCTTTTATCTTCTTTTGAGTCTGTGGTTTGCGACATTAGTGAGAAGCTATCTGTTCGGATTTTATCTCAACAAAAATACAGTTGAGGTTATTACAACTCTGTTCATGTCATCAGCAATGTTAGCAATGGTGTTTATGTACAGCAGAATTTTTATAACTGTTTATAAAAGACGGGGAATTGAACCTGCAGTATCTTCAAATATTCAGCGGGGGAAAGCTTTTCTCCGTGGAGTACGAGACGCCAAATCATGCCTCATAGTTCTGTGCTGTACCGTATGTTGCTACTTGCCTGCTTCCATTGAAAGCGGAATGAGAACAAAAATCCTGTTCAAGGAGATCGTTTTAGATCCTTGGGGTGCCACATTTATTCTGTCTGCTTCGATGTTGAATTCCGTCGTGTTCTATTGGCGAAACAAGATACTACGAAAAGAAGCAATGCGTATTCTTAGAACACTTTGTTTGATATTTCTCCAACGGAGATCCGACAATATTCTGGAATAAACTAGTCTCGTGGTATAAACAACACACGCGAAAGTGCACAGTTGTTACAGGTCTGCATGCAAACAACTTGTTACAAATCTGTTCACAAGCTGTCTACAATTTAAATTGCGTTCGTACTGGTTCTTCCTAGCTCTTATATAACGATTGGAACAAGCTTTTAACAACTCGTTGATGACATTATCAGACTTGTTGCAAAGTTGTTCTAACAAGTATGATACAGTCATGATATAACAAGAATGTTACAAAGTTGACGACACAAGGTTATAACAATATTGTTATACCATGACCTTATCGGACTTGTTGGAACAATCTGGCAACAAATTAAAGTTGTTACAACTGTTCCAAACTTCGTTGACAAATTAGGACAAGCAGTGAGAACACTACTTGTTGACGGCCTGTTAGCGTATGTGCCTAAAAAACTGGTTATTGCGTCTTTCTTTTCGACATATGTGATACAGGAACCCTTGTTGCAATATTTTTCAGTTCAGCTTATAATTTGACTACATTGGAAGTTACATGCATGGGATAAAAAGTTATCAAGAAAATTAAGAGTCAAACTGTACAAAACACTGTTAACGCTGATTTAGAGATCTGTCCACCCAGGGTCTTCCATTTCTGACACTCTTGCGCTTTTTTAAAAACATTCACCAATTGTTTGCAGAGTGAGAACTAAGGACTTGATCAAAGCTTCATCCAGTCCTAGGACTTGATCAAAACTTCGTCCAGTCCTAGCACTTGAACAAAACTTCATCCAGTCCTAGGACTTGATCAAACTTCATCCAGTCCTAAGACTTGATCAAACTTCATCCAGTCCTAGGACTTGAACAAAACTTCGTCCAGTCCTAGGACTTGATCAAAACTTCATCCAGTCCTAGGACTTGATCAAAACTTCATCCAGTCCCAGCACTTTAATTAATACGCAAATAAGAACTTTTATTAAAAATACACATTAAAATTATAGTTACAATAAAAAAAAATGTTTAAAGTTAAACGATTAGTTGCATCTGTTTATTAGTTTTCCAAACGAGTTCGTATGTTCCTATACAATTACAGTTTAAATTTTGTTCAGCAAGATACACGTCCTTCAACTAGTGCTAGTTCAATCTCCCCACCAAAGGAATTAATTGGATTGTGGTCAGGGAAGATCTGGATCCACGTAGGCACATTATCGCTGATCGTAACAATGAAAAGCTAAGTCGGCACCTAAGCCAGTTTATTGTCTTGCTATATGGCTTGCCGTGTTTTTCAGCGATCAAGGATGCTATTCTCTTGTAGACCACGTTTGCAGTGGCACCCATACCACCCGCTGTCGAGAAGACCAGCGGAGAAAATGACCCGTGTTCTACTTCTCTAATTCTTTCGTCGTACGCTCTTCTTTTCTCCAGTTCATTCTTACGATAGCACTGAGAGAAGGGGGTGTTTCGATAGCTCGGTGCGAAAGGGTTGAACACCCTGACGTCAAAAAATGCACGTTGCCGATTGCGCCCCCAGAAACTTTCTGCTACAACATCCAGTCGAGCACCATCTTCTCTATTTGCTGATCTGTATGAAAACGCTTCATCAGTTACAGGTTGTAGGCCTGGTTCGACACCAACTCCATAGCATACCTCCGTCAAAAATTCAGCAGTAATATCTCTTATCTCGTTGTGTCGGATTGAGGGAAAGCCTCCTCGTGAGCAACTTAATGCATGCTCTATTGTAAACTTCTGATCACAGACGCAGCGGGAGGGTAGATGCTGAGGAAGCCATCCATATCTCAGACATAGGGCATCTCGAAAAGCTCCTTTGTGTAGGTTGAACCCATAGTCAGACAACGGAAGCGTGGTAAGCCATGTGGAAGCTCCTTTCTCAGTGGAAACTTCTATCGCTCTCTGTAGATTTGGAGGTAATCTTTCTGCAATCAGGTTTGCTTCAGCTTTCTCATGTCGTCTTCGTAGGTTGCGGGTATGATTTTTCTCATTGATTTGAGCTTTTTTAATCTCAGGAGGACTTACTCTCGATTGATCTATAATGATATTGACGATTGGGGCTGTAATCGATTTAGAATTTTCATAGAAAGTGGAGCTTTTTTGGGAAGGATCAGTGATGCCCAGGCCTCCAAGGCGAGCTGGTAGTCCCATAAGATTGCGAAGGTTGTCATCGAATACATTTTGCCCTGTGATAGCTGGTAGGAACTTGCATCTTAAAACTTCTTCAAGTGGTGCGAGAAAAATGTCAATATTCGGGGTTGTCCGAGCTAAATATGTCCATTTGCTCTTAAAACCATGCGTGAATGCGGCATAAGCGGCTTGTGGTTGTGACATAGCAATGTCAGAAAGACGTTCAAGCTCTTCCTTCCATGTTGACACTTTCTCTTCAACGTAATTCTCTACAAAAGAACGTGTTCCAATTGCTGAACCCAAATGCCTCTTTCCCTCCTGAGAAATCTTCACTCCTGTGTCTTGAAAAAGCTGCTTTGCTTCTTCGAAGTGCCTTTCTTTCACAACAAGCCACGTCTTGTCAGCATTGGGGAAATAGCCGTATTCTGGTCCTATCTTAGAGATGTTGTTCCACCAGTCTTTGATACCGCTAAGTTTCCCAGCAGCAGTGGCATCATCGGCAAACCACACTTGCTTTATCCTCTCTTCAGAAAGGCGATGGATCAGAGGTGTAATAGCAACAGCGTACATTGCCATTGCAAGGGGATCTCCTTGTGTAGTGCCCTCTTGCGAATAAATTACTTCTCCGTCTATAAACAAAGGAATGTGTTCTCTGTTGGTATTTGTTAACACCTTCGATAGTGCTGGGCAAAGATGCTTGATATTAATTAAGGCAGTTTGACGGTTTAAGCAGTTAAAAGCATTGGTAGCATCCACAAGAATAACACCATCCGCATCCTTATCTTCAAACACTTGATGCATAGCGTGAACAGCTGCCTCACAACCGGATAAATGTCCAGCACATGTCTGTAGTGGACCTGTAGCTTCTTGAATCTCGTTGCCAATCACTCTGACAATCGCTTTACCAATAATACGCCGAGCCACTCACCAATACCGACCGGACGTACTCCAGGGCATTTATCAAGCGCAATCAAGCGACTACCAACAAATGATGTTAAACTTGATGGATCAACAAGAGAAGTGCAGATTCTTCTAGCAACTGCGGCTAAAGCATCGCATAGACCAACTGAACATGATTTAAAAGATGTACAGAGTCGTCGCCAGGCCATTGCATCTAGACCAGATGGTCCTGCGGCTCTTTCTGTTTTAATGGCCGTATTCTGTGTCAACTCTCCATCAATCCTATCAAAAATAACTGGGTGTGGTTCCATGTTGCAATCCCCATTTAGTATCGCCGATTGAACAGGTGGTATATTAGGTGGATGCTTCTCTAAAAGGACTTGTCTGACGGTCTTGGGATTGTCAGGGGCAACACAGCTATCTAACGTCAGACATCCTCTATCGTCTTCCGATATTATCCGAAGTGCTGCTCTTACTTTACCCTGCATCATCAACTTTGCGAAAACTCGCGCAGTATCATCAGATGACCGCTGCTTAGATTGTCTGACTAAGCATTTTTGGATAGCACGACCCTCATCTAGCAGACCATTGATATCCCCATTCATCCATTGCTTAAGTCTACGATTTAGATACAAAGTATGCTCTTTTGCCTTAGATTTGGGATGTGGTTTCTGGAGTAAAAGAGCAGGCATAACCATTGTGGCTGTTAAAGCCACACTCTCAAGTGACGATATATCAGCATAAGCTTGAAACATTCGAGTAAGCTCGCGCACAAAGGATTTACCAGCCTGGCCGGATGGAGTTTTAAACAAGTTTCGTCTCCAATGAACCACTTCTTTATAGCTTTCTTGGATAGCTTGAGCAAATGCTTCGCCTTCGACTTCACCCCATCGAAACACTGGAGATTGCATTGGGATATAATCTGGTGTGTGTTCTGAAATTATTACTTCATTTTCATCGCTTTCGGGTTCTTGGTGTTGATTAACGTGCGATGTCGATCCATCTTGAAGTAAGCTTGGCAAATTTCCTATTTGATTTTGATTTTCACATCGTTTATCTTTCCCTGGCTTACAATTTGTGCAAACGCGGTTGTTTCTAGCACAAATACACGATCTACATGTCCCATTTCCGTTACACCGGCAACACTGAGTCACGTTCCAACTATGAACAACTATAACTTGCTTGAACGCCTTGTTGGAAAGAGTTAAACAATGTTTATTTATTTTAAAAATGCGCAGTTAAAAAAAAACACGTCCGCCACTTGAACAAAATTTCATTTTCATCCAGTCCAAGGACTTGATCAAAACTTCATCCAGTCCTAGGACTTGATCAAACTTCATCCAGTCCTAGGACTTGATCAAACTTCATCCAGTCCTAGGACTTGATCAAACTTCATCCAGTCCTAGGACTTGATGAAAACTTCATTCAGCCTTGGGATTGTATCAAACTTCATCCATGGGATTTGATCAAAACTTCATCCAAATCCTCAGCTTCAAGCCTCATGCAGGATTTGATCAATGGTTTCCTTATTCATTATATAGTATGGTTAATTGGCTAGACATAGCTATGAATTTGTAATTAACTAGAAGAAAATAGGATCTAAAAACATGCTCGTCTCTTTACATTTATAGACAGCCGAGAAGCCCTATAGGAACGAAACATGGTCTAAACCTGTAATTACCAAGTTTTTCAGGAATTTTTACAAATATTGAAAAATACTAATATTATAATAATTATTTAAGCTCAAATTAATATACGCTTGAACCTATAGCCTATATAAGCAATAATGCAAAAAGACTCTATTTGGCAAACCTTTGGACAAACACAGACTGTAAGACGGGACTATTAATAATGCTGCAGTTTACATATTGTTTACATAAATTATATAGGTTCAAGGCTATAACATATTAATTTGACATTAAATGTGATGTTAGTATTTTTCAGTATTTGTAAAAATGCCTGAAAAGTTGTGAAATTGCAGGTATACACCATTAATTTTTCGTTCTCAGGGCTTCTCGGCTGCCTATATAAACGTATAGCGACGAGCATGTATTTATGCCAAGATTTCATATGACAAGTTTTATTTTCTCGTCTGTATAGGCAAATTTTTACTATGACAATAGTATGTTAGCTTTTGAAAAGGTACACCTGTCATAGAAAAAGTTGGCAAAATACAAAATTGTGTTCGTCTGTATATGGGTCAACAAATAAAATTCGACAGTATCTTATATATAGTACGAGAAGCACTTCATATCTCGTCTATATTTATCTAAATTCAAGAAATGTGTCCACATTTCAGCTTTTTAATTTGACAATCTGGCGCGCGCGGACAAAGAAGAAGAATTTTAATCTGTGTTCTCTTTATTAAATATGTCATAAAGATCGAATTGTTTACATAAAGTGTTTATTGTCTATTACACAGCTACAAGAAACAGTATATGAATCGCTATGGAGAAAAGTGAAAAAGAGGTGCGCTAATAAAACTCTCGTATATATCGAAAATTTCGTTTTGAAAAAGATGGCAGGGAACGAAACCACGATAAGGCCAAATGAAGAATACGATATGTATCTGGAAAATTGTGTTTGGGAAACACTAGAATTTGCTGTTGTCGTTCGCTTCCCTAGCCGACCGTACTACGCGAGTCACGTTGTGTGTTTAATCTACAATATTATCCAAACATTTTTTATTATAACCCTCAACTACTTGGCCATACACGCTTTTTATAAATCCTCACAGTTGAGACGAAAAACAACGCTATTTCTCGTTATGGTTTTATCTGCAAACGATTTTCTAGTTGGGCTCATCGGGGTACCGGTATTTTTGCTATGTTTGAGCAGAGAAATAGTTGGAAATAAAAATTGTCTGAGTGAAATGTTGAGTTTTGTAATTTTGGATATATTACTGGGGATTTCTATAATTACATTTCTGGTGCTGAATTTTGAAATATACTTGTCAATTATTCATCCTATATTTCACAAAACGAAAATTACAAACAGGCGTGTCCTTTATCTTCTTTTGGGTTTGTGGTTTGCGGCAATGACAAGATCCTATCTGTTCGGATTTTATCTCAACAAAAATACAGTTGAGGTTATTACAACTCTGTTGATATCAACAGCAATATTTGCAATGGTGTTTATGCACAGCCGTATTTTTATAACTGTTTATAAAAGACGGAGAATTGAGGCTGCAGCATCTTCAAATATTCACCGCGGGAAAGCTTTTCTCCGTGGAGTGCGAGACGCCAAATCATGCCTTATGGTTCTGTGCTGTACCGTATTTTGCTACTTGCCTGCTACCATTGAAAACGGAATGACAACGAAAACCATGTTTAAGGAGATCGTTCTAGATCCTTGGGCTGGCACATTTGTTCTGTCTGCTTCGGTGTTGAATTCCGTCGTGTTCTATTGGCGAAACAAAATACTACGAAAAGAAGCAATGCGTATTCTTAGAACACTTTGTTTGATATTTCTCAATATTCGGGAATAAATTAGTCTCGTGGTATAAGCACCACACGCGAAAGTGCACAGTTGTTACAGATTTGCATGCAGACATTAACTTGTTACAAATCTGTTCACAACTAGCTGTCTACAATTTAAGTTGTGTTCGCAACAAGATTGGAACAAGCTGTTAACAACTCGTTACAAGCTTGATGGCATTATCAGACTTGTTACAAAGTTGTTCTTAAACAAATACGATACAGTCATCATGATATAACAAGAATGTTACAAGGTTGACGACACAAGGTTGTGACATTATCGGACTTGTTGGAACAACCTTGCAACAAATTAAAGTTGTTACAACTGTTCCAAACTTGTTGACAACTTGGGACAAGCATTGCGAATACTACTTGACGTTGACGGCTTGTTAGCGTATATGTACCTAAAACACTGGTTATTGCGTGTGCCTTTCCGACATATGTGATCCAGGAACCCGTGTTGCAATATTTTTCGGATTATAATTTTACTAGGAAAAGGATTTATCACAATTATCAGACCTGACATACAGTGTTTTTGACATAATCCAAATCGAAAAAAAATCAACAGTTTAAAATCAGTCATTAAACAGGTCTCTAAATCAGTGTCATCAGTGTTTTGTACAGTTTGACTTTTAACTGTTTTGACAAACTTGTATCCCATGCATGTAACTCCCAATGTCAGTTACTGTGCATCGTTTTCGTTCACAACACTGTCTTTATACGTGTATGACGCAAGTCAACATCCTAAGTTCGTACATGTCAGATAGAGTCAAATTCAAGGATTTCCAGCTCAAGGCCATGTATCAGCAAATTCAAGGACTAAATGCTGAAGAGAAGGTGTTAGAAATCATTATTAGGTTACGTTGAATTGTGAACATACTTTTGTGAGAAAACTAATGGAAATCATATCGAATAAATAATGTACAATATAACAATATTTAAAAATGAATAAATAAATTATCGAAAGTGGAAATTTGTTAGTGTATCAGTAAAGACGATCACGGTAAGTGTTATGGTCTATAATCTAAATAATAATTCAAGCACGTTAGGTGAAAGAACAGCCCGAAAATAAGTAAAACACACACCAAATCATTGTGGGAGAATGGGTTCAGGGTGAAGTGAACCAATTATATACATTATACTCTCAAACTCTGGTCAACCCAAAGACTCATTAAGCCTTATGTTTTCATCCCGCAGGCGTATATATAAGACCTGCTAGGAGAGACTGAATGCTCCATAGGAGCTCTGCCCGAAGGGTAGCGACCCCCTCTGACATAGACCTGAACCAAGGGGTGATAATCCCCTTGGACAGTACCTACGATTCGACTGATTATATTTACATAAATAACCTGAGTCTATGGGCCTGAAGTTGACCATTGGGAACACTTCAACCCCGAACCAAAATTTATTTCTTTGAACATTTAAGTATTTACATAGCGATAATTTTCCATTAGAAAATTGTTCGATAGTCTTTCTTGACAAATTGTTCTTGAACAGTCCTTGCATAACATTAGTTAGTACCCATACAATGCACCAGATACCAGGAACATGAACGGGTGGGTGGAAATTTTCTTTCTCGGTAACAAGACATTGCTCTTTGTTGGGATATTTGTCAAAGTGAACTCCCTTATCACATTGACCTTTGTTCTGCGTGTTCGTTGTTGATATATGATTGGTCAGTTGATCTTTTATTCGGTTTTACACATGCCCAGAGAAACATTTGAACTTTGGACTATTGGATATTGCCTTTTTATGTCTGTTGACAAGCTTATCCTGTTACTATGAGATTATAACCAGGTTTGAAGGTGACAAACGTGTTGTCTTATTAACTTGAATTTATATATTGTTATATATAAATTTGCTTAAAAAACATCCTACTCACTTTTTTAATAAATACTTCGCGTTTTCCATTTGTTCAATCCGATTGCCAGTCTCTAGTTTGTTTGAAATACCTTTTAGTTCATCATCAATCTGCGAAACTGGTTCTCTGATCCATGTTACATGTTTTTGTTATTTTATCATGAATAAGCTTGTAATGTGTGTCTCCATAGCTTTATCTGCAAAAACGAAACTGTTGGAAGACGAATTAATTTACTTTAAATCATTTTGAAAATTTATTTCTTTTTCATTGCGACTTTCTCTAAACAAATTATATTCTTAAAGAACTTGTATTCTTCGTTGCTCTTTCTTGCATTTTTGTCTTTCTTAAAGCGAATATTTTCTTTTTTTCTGCTTTGCAAAGTTCTTGTAGTTTTCATGCCGCCATCTTGTTTTTCTCTACTCGTCGACGGTATATGAGCTGATATACGGGGAGTAGCTCAACCAATCAGATTGCAGAATAACTCGTATACGGTGGATGACTATATATATTATAAATAGTGATATTCTTTTATTGAGAATTTTAATATTAACCTGTTAAGACCACTCTATTCGGCAAACCTTTGGACAAACACAGACAGTAAAGCGGAACTATTAATAATGGAGCAGTTTACATATGCTCATACATATAGGTTCAAGCCTATATTAATTTGAGTTTAAATATGATATTGGTATTTTTCAATATTTGTAAAAATGCCTGAAAAACTGGGTAATTACAGGTATAGACCTTTTTCGTTCCCAGGGCTTCCCGGTTCCCTATAAACGTAAAGCGACGAGCATGTATTGATGAAAAGTTTACATAGGCTATGACAATTTATATGTGCTCGTCTGTATAGGCAATTGTGCAAATGTTTACTATGACAATATAGTATGCAGCTTTTGAATTGGTACACCTGTCAAAGAAAAAGTTGGCAAAATACAAATTGTGTTCGTCTGTATATGGGTCAACAAAGAAAATTCGGCAGTATCTTATATATAGTAAGAAAAGCATTTCATATCTCGTGTATTTATCTAAATTTAAGAAACGTGTCTTTAATTTGACAATCTGGTGCGCGCGGACAAAGAAGAATAATTTTAACCTGTGTTCTCTTTATCATACATGTCATAAAGATTGAATTGTTTACATAAAGTGCACTAATATACATAGGCCATAAGGTGCATATATATTTTGTTATCTATTACACAGCTACAAGAAGTAGTATATGAATCGCTCTGAAGAAAAGAGTGGTACGCTAAATAAACTCGCGCATCTTTCGAAAATTTCTGTTTGGAAAATATGGCAGGGAACGAAACCACGATAAGGCCGACTGCAGAATACGATATGTATCTGGAAAATTGCGTTTGGAAAAAAATAGAATTTCCTGTTGTCGTTCGCTTTCCTAGTCGACTGTACTATTCGAGTCACGTTGTGTGTTTAATCTACAATATTATCCAAACATTTCTTATTATAACCCTCAACTATTTGGCCATGTACGCTTTTTATAAGTCCTCACAGTTGAGACGAAAAACAACGCTATTTCTCGTTATGGTTTTATCTGCAAACGATTTTGTAGTTGGGCTCATCGTCGAACCAATGTTTTTGCTATGTTTGAGCAGAGAAATGTTTGGAAATAAAAATTGTTTGAGTAAAATGTTGAATTTTGTAACCTTGGATATATTACTGGCTATTTCTTTGACAACATTTCTGGTGCTGAATTTTGAAATATACTTGTCAATTATTCATCCTATTTTTCACAAGACGAAAATTACAAACATGCGTGTCCTTTATCTTCTTTTGAGTCTGTGGTTTGTGGCAATAACAAGGTCCTATCTGTTCGGATTTTATCTCAACAGAAATACAGTTGAGGTTATTGTGACTCTGTTAATGTCATCATCAATGTTAGCATTGGTGTTTATGCACAGCAGAATTTTTATAGCCGTTTATAAAAGAGGGAGAATTGAGCCTGCACCATCTTCAAACATTCAGCGGGGGAAAGCTTTTCTCCGTGGAGTGCGACACGCCAAATCATGCCTTATGGTTCTGTGCTGTACCGTATGTTGCTACTTGCTTGCTACCATTGAGAACGGAATGACAACAAAAAACACATTCAACCAGATCGTTTTAGTTCCTTGGAGTACCACATTTGTTCTGTCTGCTTCGGTGTTGAATTCGATCGTGTTCTATTGGCGCAACAAGATACTACGAAAAGAAGCGATGCGTATTCTTAGAACTCTTAGTTTGATATATCTCAAACGGAGATCCGACAATATTCTGGAAACATAAACAAACTATTATTAGTATTAGCTCTCCTGGTATTCTCTAAACTACACACGTGGAAACGCACAAGTTGTTACAAGTCTGCATGCGAATAAGTTGTTACAAATCTGTTCACAAGCTGTCGACAAGATATGTTCCCACTGCTTGTTCCCGGTTGTTCTAACAAGTCTGATACAGTTATGATATAACAAGAATGTTACAAGTTTGACCATACAAGGTTGTAACGATATTGTTATATCATGACTCTATCGGACTTGTTAGAACAACCTGGAACAAAGTTGTTACAACTGTTCTCAACTTGTTGACAACTTGGGACAGCAATGCGAACACTACTTGTTGGCGGCTTGTTAGTGTGTGTACCTAAAACACTGGTTAATGCGTGTGCCTTTCCGACATATGTGATCCAGGATCCTTGTTGCAATATTTTTCAATTCTGATTATAATTTTATTAGAAAAGGATTTAACAGACCTGACATGCAGTGTTTTTGACATGATCCAAATCGAAAAAAAATCATAACAGTTTAAAATCAGTCATTAATAAACAGGTCTCTTAATCGGTATTATCAGTGTTTTGCACAGTTTGACTTTTAACTTTCTTGACAAACTTTTATCCCATGCATGTAACTCCCAATGTCAGTTACTGTGCATCGTTCTCGTTCACAACACTGTCTTTATACATGTATGACGCAAGTCAACATCCTGAGTTCGTACATGTCAGATAGAGTCAATTTCAAGGATTTCTCAAGGCCATGTATCAGCAAATTCAAGGACTAAATGCTGAAGAGAAGGTGTTAGAAATCATAAATAGGTTACGTTGAATTGTTCAAAACGGAACTTTAATGAAGTTCCGAGCTTTGTCAGATGTGAACATACTTTTGTGAGAAAACTAATGGCAATCAAATTGAATAAATAATGTTCAGTAGCAATATTTAAAAATGAATGAATATGTTATCGAAAGTGGAAGTTTGTTAGTATGTCAGTAAGAAGATTACGGCGAGAATTATGGTCTAATAAAGGATCTAATAAAAAAACATCTACTCGCTTTTTTAACAAATTCTTCGCGTTTTGCCATTTTTTCAATCCGATTGCCAGTTTCTAGTTTGTTTGAAATACCTTTCAGTTCATCACCAATCTGCGAAACTGATCCTCTGATCCGTGTTTACATGTTTTTGTTATTTTGTCATGAATAAGCTTGTGATTCGTGTCTCCATGACTTTATCTGCGAAAACAAAAGTGTTGGAAGACGAATTAATTTTCTTTAAATCACCGTGAAAATTTATTTCTTTTTCATTGCGACTTTCTCTGAACAAATGAACTTGTATTTCTTAATGAACTTGTATTTCTTCGTTGCTCTTTCTTACACTTTTATCTTTCGTGAAGCGAATATTTTCTTTTTTTCTGCTTTGCTGAATTCTTGTAGTTTTTCGTGCCGCCATCTTGTTTTTCTCTACTAGTAGTATATGAGCTGATATACGGCGAGTAGCTCAACCAATCAGATTGCAGAATAACTCGTATACGGTGGATGACTATATATATTATAAATAGTGATATTCTTTTATTGAGAATTTTAATATTAACCGGTCAAGACCACTCTATTCGGCAAACCTTTGGACAAACACAGACAGTAAAACGGAACTATTAATAATGGAGCAGTTTACATATAAAGCTCATACATGATATATAGGTTCAAGCCTATATTAATTTGAGTTTAAATATATGACATTGGTATTTTTCAATATTTGTAAAAATGCCTGAAAATCTGGGTAATTACAGGTATATACCTTTTTCGTTCCCAGGGCTTCTCGGTTCCCTATAAACGTAAAGCGACGAGCATGTATTGATGAAAGGTTTTTATATGACAATTTATAATATAGTATATATGCAGCTTTTGAAATGATACACCTGTCAACGAAAAATACATACAAATTGTGTTCGTCTGTATATGGGTCAACAAAGAAAATTCGGCCGTATCTTATATATAGCACGAGAAGCATTTCATATCTTGTATCTAAACTCATGCAAGAAAAGTGTCCACATTTCAGCTTTTTAATTTCACAATCTGGCGCGCGCGGACAAAGAAGAGTAATTTTAACATGTGTTCTCTTTATTATCTATGTCATATAAATATCGTGATGTTTACATAAAGTGCACTAATACATAGGCCATGAGTGGTATTTACTTTATGATCATTACACAGCTGCAAGAAATAGTATATGAAACGCTTTGGAGAAAAGTGAAAAAGTGGTACGCTCAATAAAACTCGCGCATATATATATATATATATATATATATATATATATATATATATATATATATATATATTTATATATATATATATATATACCGAAAATTTCTTTGTGGAAAAGATGGCACGGAACGAAACCACGATAAGGCCAACTGCAGAATACGATATGTATCTCGAAAATTGCATTTGGGAAAAAATAGAATTTCCTGTTGTCGTTCGCTTTCCTAGCCGACTGTTTTACGCGAGTCATTTTGTGTGTTTAGTCTACAATATTATCCAAACATTTTTTATTATAACCCTCAACTACTTGGCCATACACGCTTTTTATAAATCCTCACAGTTGAGACGAAAAACAACGCTATTTCTCGTTATGGTTTTATCTGCAAACGATTTTGCAGTTGGGCTCATCGTCGAACCGATGTTTTTGCTATGTTTGAGCGGAGAAATGTTTGGAAATAAAAATTGTTTGATTGAAATGCTGAATTTTGTAACTTCGGATGCATTACTGGGTATTTCTGCAATAACATTCCTGATGGTGAATTTTGAAATATACTTGTCAATTATTTATCCTATATTTCACAAAACGAAAATTACAAACAGACGTGTCCTTTATCTTCTTTTGAGTTTGTGGTTTGCGGCAATGACAAGATCCTATCTTTTCGGATTTATCTCAACAGAAATACAGTTGAGGTTATTATAACTCTGTTAATATCAGCAGCATTGTTAGCAATGGTGTTTATGCACAGCAGAATTTTTATAACTGTTTATAAAAGACGGAGAATTGAGCCTGCAGCATCTTCAAACATTCAGCGGGGGAAAGCTTTTCTCCGTGGAGTGCGAGACGCCAAATCATGCCTTTTGGTTCTATGCTGTACCGTATGTTGCTACTTGCCTGCTTCCATTGAAAATGGGATGAGAACAAAAACCATGTTCAAGGAGATCGTTCTAGATCCTTGGGCTGCCATATTTATTCTGTCTGCTTCGGTGCTGAATTCGGTCGTGTTCTATTGGCGCAACAAGATACTACGAAAAGAAGCGATGCGTATTCTTAGAACTCTTTATTGGATATATCTCAAACGTAGATCCGATTATATTATGAAATAAGCTCTCGTGGTTGTCGGTTGTTGGAACAAGTTTGGAACAAGCTGTTAACAACTTGTAACAAGCTTGATAGCATTATCAGACTTGTTGCAAAGTTTTGCGTGTGCCTTTTCGATATATGTGATCCAGGAACGCATGTTGCAATATTTGTCTGATTATAATATCTCAAACTCATTACTAATTCATGAGTAAATTAGCCAACCATATTGCTTTATTTTGCTCACATGATAATATACTGGATACCTGATATTGATCCAGTCCTATAGGAATATCAAATAATTTCAGGAAATGTCCATAAATTAAAAATTTATGATTTATAATTTAAGAATTTTTTATTTTCAAATTCATGCAAGGACATCATTCAAGGACTTTCAAGTTTTGTACGAACCCTGGACATTATATACATAATAATATAAAATTAGGTGGATACCTTAAATGAGGACGTGATTTGGTTTGTGTATAAATTATACAGTGGGCATAATTATCGAATGCCTTGAATAGACTTCTGTTCATCTTAAATGATGGAAGGTTCTTGGCTCCAATCTTTCTGGTATACGATTAACTACTTTAAGCTAACTTGTGTGAGAAATCCAATGCCAATTATTGTTATACCGAATAAATTATTTATTAGATAAAATATGAATGAAAACCCGGAAACTTGTAAATAATTGTTAGATTTTATTAAAAGATGATTGATAAGGCGACACTTGCAATAATTTATATAGACCTAGTGTAAAAATAACTAAATTTTACTGAAAATGACTTGAATGGTTCATTGTAATATACGTCCTCTCATTGAGATCCATATTGAGGTTTAGGTGGGGAAATTTATTAAATCTTATATGATTCAGTTTCCTAATGTGTTTCTGCCCTTCGTTGACTAAATGTAATACAATTAATGTCGTTTAAATACACTGAGTTTTTAATTAGTATTTGTACACTAAATTGCATGATATATATATAAGTGAGCTAGTTATCACGTAGCTAATGCTGATTCGACGCATTGATTTGTTTCTTTGTATCTTCCGGCCATCCTTTCGTTAACGATATCTTCTTGGCACAGGGTTGTTGTATCTTGCATATTCTGCGAAAAAATGGCACATGAATAAATAGCTTGACTGTTTTCGTTTTGAAAACTAAAGATATAGAATAAAACTCAACCGAAAGCTTGAGCATTGTGAAGCTGTATGGGGGACATTTGAAGCTCTAGATTAACAAAATGAAGGTTTTGGTGAGTGTTCCAAATATGTTGAACTTAAATGGAATACATGACAGTGTTTCCAGAGTTAGGAGTTGATGAAAACTTTATCTCAAACTCATTTTTACTCACATGATAATACTGCATGTATACCCTAGGACTGGGTCAAAATCAGTTCAGTCCTCATGGACGTCTGGATCAAAATTAACTAAGTAGTGATTTATTCGTATGAGATGTCATTTCAAATTTGTCATTTCAAGATGTCATTTAGTAATCTAGATTGCTAAAATGGATGTTTGATGAGTGTTCCAACTATGTTTTAACTTAAATGGAATACATGTTAGTGTTGAGAAAGCATTAAGAACTGCTAACCAAGGTCACGTGACTGCCAACCTTCATGCCTGCACTCTCATCCCCGTTTGGTCTAGGTTATTAAAGTGCCTATGACACGAAATTTCACCCCAAATTTTTATGGTTGTATTGTAAAGATCACTTAAAATGACTTAATAATTTCTTTTATAGAATTTTGGTAATTTGCTTCCTTCGCAAGATATTCAACTTTGTTTCATATGCAAATATCACCGGTGTTACATCACATCGCATAATGACATTTTGAAAACGCAATATTTTACCTTGATAAAATATTTTTACAAACAAATACAGAGGATTAATTACCAGTTATGAAATTAATACATATACAAGGGCAATTTTTAAGTTTTTTAGATACGTATTCGTCAAGAAAACTATACTTTTCGGAAAACTCATGCGATGTGATGTCACACCGGTGATATTTGCATATGAAACAAAGTTGAATATCTTGCGAAGGGAGCAAGTTACCAAACTTATATAAAAGAAGTTATTAATTAAGTCATTTTAAGTGATCTAGGCACTTTAAGAATTGTTAAGAAATTTCTCTTACGCTTAGGAATCATTTCCTCCTCCTCTTCTTCGCTTGCGTCATCAATCAATCTTCGCTTGTTCCGCAGACGATTCCTGTATTGAAAATAATAAAATTATTACCATTGATCATTGTTCTGTTATCAAAGAGGGTTTTGTTACGAAATGTAATATATTATCAGCACTACATCAGGTTACAACCAAATACTTGAGTATTAATCTTTGAATTTACCACATAATCGACATAAGGTTGTCGAACAGGACTGATCCTGTATGAGATGAGTTAGCGAGCCAACAAGGAAGAGGGACAATTCAAATCTATGTACTATTTAATTTCACGATCTTTTCTCACTATTTTCAAATTTACACTATACCTTTTAATGCATATACACGAGGCCCAAATGATTCCACTAAGTCCAGATGCGCACACCAAAGATCCCACAATGACATAGACAATCACCCAATCTGAACAATGAGACAGTTTGACAATGAGAAACGTGAATATTACTAATATCATGATAATTAACAGAACATTTCAAGGAAAGAAAATCGAGGAATATTTTTTGCAAATCAGGAAAATTTTCTATGCGTGGATACAGCACCACATTGACTTTTTAAAATTTTCTTTATGAATTATTAATGATTTTTTACAATTACCTCTTTCCTTCTCAGCGTCATCCACAGTTCTGCGCATGTAAGCGATGTATGTATTTTTATCTTTGTCAGCTGGTTTTCTAAATGACTGACATTGCAGACCATCTTGACATTGTACTGTATAACACTTCTGTTCCTCCATATATGCTACATCACAGCTATCTTTACGACAGCAGTGGGCGATGCATGTGTCCAGACGATCTACCTCACCCATGTCTGTTAACTTGGCTCCGGATAATTTGGTGTTTCGAGTTATCTTCATCGTCTTGCAGTGTGAGTCTTTGCTCGGTGTAGCTTCGTTTTCTTCCATGTTAACTTCGGTTTCTATATAAGCAAGTAAAACACATCATGGTCAATAGACGAGGAGCAACTGGCATACAGTACAAACACAGTTTTGTTCCATGACTGTGTGGCAGTTCACAACGCGTTTTTCAATTGTAGCGAGTCAGCACTGTAGCAAAATTGTAGCTTGCCGTAGGTTTTGTGACTCCTGTCCGAAAGTAAGGTAATCTTTGGAAACTGAAAAAGGACTAAACTTATGTAGGACTGAAAGCCTGCACTTGTACTGGTTGGCCGTTTACTGTAATACAATCAAAGTTAACTTTTTATTCTTGTTATTTTTATTCAAATTCTTCAGAAGATGACTTAAATTATAGTCCAAACGTAAAAAAATGAAAATGTTTACAATTTTCGGAGTGTCTATTGTTTTGTGTTTTATTTCTGGTTAAATTTCCTGGTTGTTTTATCTCACTTCCTACCATGGTCTGGTTATGTATCCAGGAATTTGGTTATAATATTGAACCTGGTCGTAATTATCCACCTACTTAACACAGTCTGGTTAATTTGTCCAGGACGTTTTGGTCTACTTAACTAGACTGTAGTAGGAAAACGGTTAAAATAACCAGCAAATTAACCTTGGGGTCGGTTGTTCAAAAGCCGATTAACTTAACCCAAGGTTAACCTAAAATTCAAAGCAAACTTCCCAACAGCTTGGTTATATTAAACTTGGAAATATTTCTTCAGAAATCTTGTCTGGACCAATGGGAGTTTTCTTCTCTGAAGTTTTGAAACAAGTAGATGTGCAGAAATACATAAGCTAAAACAGCAGGTTAAATTTTAACCCAGGGTCAGCGTCAATCCACCTTTGAACAACGAGCCTCAGGGGCCAGTTGTTCAAAGCTGGATTAGCGCTTACTCTGGGTTAAAATTTAACTTGCTGTTTTAGTTTATGCATTTCTGCACGTCTGTTTATTTCCCACCTTCAGAGAAGAAAAAGTCCTACTGATTCAGACACGATGTCTCAAGAAGTATTTCCAAATTTATAAACAAGCTATTGGAATGTATCCTTTGAATCCTAGATTACGCTAACCCAGCTTTGAACAACTGGCCCCAGGAGTATTTAAAACATAATTCAAATAGGATTATTTCTAGGTTGACCGGGAAAATTTTAACCAGAGTGTTTAAAAGTCTCAAGTTTTGTGATGTAGGCAATTTTAAGCGTACGCGCTAATAGTAATACCTTTGACGGATGGCTTTTCTACAGGAGATGTGAACGCCATCAATGAAGATTCTTCGTCATCCTTTACCATTGCAGTTGCACAACTATCAGGTGAATTGCACGTTACGGTAAAACACTTTCCTCTCTCCAGATACGCCAAATCACACATCGATTCATCGCAGCATTTTGCCATGCAGTTTTTCATTGAGTGAATGTCTTTGGCTAACTTGAATGTTCCTGCTTTCCTTCCTTTGATCAGCTTTTTGTCATTGGTTGTTGGTTTGTAGTTGCATTTCAGGCTTTTGGGTGTTTCTGGAATGGCTGGACGTTGAACTAGGCGGAAGAGAACATAAGCATTGTTGGGAAAAGAAGATTTAAACTTCTACTGATATTTGGAAATAGCCAACGCCATATTGAACTAACGCTATTTATTGTAGATAGCTCTTATCAGTTCCCAATAGTCAATCCTATAGAGGTTTAGCACGGCAATCACGTAAAAATCCCACCATATCTTGTCTACAAGGTAACAGGATGTGTTCAAAACATACTTGTAGGAAGCTTGTGTGATGTTACTCTGAGTGTAATGCTTGTGTGATGTTACTCAGAGTAATATCACACAAGCATCTTATTCACCTGAGTACATTACACCAACACAGAAAATATCATGCTTGTAGGAAGCTTCTGAACCAGTTGTGACAATTTTGTAGTTTATCAAATTGCTACAAGGTTGTCGTTTACAACTTGTTAACAAATTGTTGGACTACAGGATAATAACAAGGTACCGGAACAACTTAATTGTTGAGTCAATTAACAACCTTGAAGTGAGTTGTAGACAAGCCGTTGACAACTTGGCATCAAGTTGGTACGCCAAATTGGCATCAATTGGTACGAACAAGCAGTGCGAGCACATCCTGATAACAAGTTGTTCAAACTGATCTCATAACAGACTGGATATAGACTCTGTAAAAAATAAAGCCAATTCGAGCGATCATGACTTGGGGCATGTCTAGCGTTTATTGCACTTCTAGGAAGTCTATTAAGAACTGACATAGTAAAGTTAGATCTACCATTTCTCGACTATATTCTTTCATTCCTACCTTTTTTGACATTCGTTTCCATCGGACGAACAATGGCTAGCTGTGGAACAAAATTGGACGGTGGAGCTGGCGAGGTCGCACAAGATTTCTTATCTTTACATGCAACTGAATAACACGCCTTTCCAAGCAGTAACACCAAGTTACATTTCTTCTCTTTACAACAGAAATCGACACATTTATCCATGGAGTCAACCTGACCGTGTTCCGTGAAAGTACCGGCACCTTTGCCCCCGGATAATGTGACATCCTTAATATGCTTCACAGCTTTGCAGTTGTTTTTTTCAGATGATCCTTGTGTTTTCTGCTACAATAACAAATGAGAATTTGAGGTATAAAAACTGATAGTAACCTATAGCCTTTTTGCATAAATGCTAAACGAAGTTGGAACAGTGAATGGTCGAGTGACTGGATTATATACAGAATAGTAAGATTTTCAATTGATCAATGCATTTCAATTTGGAATAACTGAGCATTAATTTTGAAGCTATCATTAGAGGATTATGAATAATATTATTATTCATAGTATTGGCTCAACACTGTATTGGTGAAATAAGTTGAACCTTCATATTTAGCAGACCGGCCAAATCTCCTAGAAAATATGGCGCTCCAGTCCGTGATCGGTCATATTTCCCAGGACATTTGGGGCCACAGGAGCCACAAATTCGTCCGAAATAACGCATCAAACCATTGACTTCGTAGTACCTAATTGTCATAGCTATTATAATTGTGCAACATAAGTACATATATATGGATCAGCGGACTGTGATGTGTGAGGCATGGGTACGAAGACGAAAATTTGGTACTCTATCAGTCTCAAATTTTATCCTTTATCGATTTGTTAATCCATTTTATCTCTGTAAATAACACCTACAGGTTTAAAAGACGACTTTATGTTACCTGGTTTGGAGCAGGTTTTAAATTTGCTTTGTTTTCGTTCTCTTTACCATTGGTTTTTCCATCTTGTGTTGAGGTTAGTTTTAGTTCGCCGTTGACCATTTGGAGAGACATTGCTTGACCGGCTTTGACATTCTTCAATTGGTTTTTCAACGCTGTTTGGTTTTTTTGAGGTTTTGGTGTGGCTGGCTTTGAACTTTGTAGAGCTGAGGCTAAATCTGAACGGAATATAAGAATGCTAGCAATGGTGCAGAGATATAACAAGGGAGATCGTGCCTCGTGGAGAAATTGCCTCCCCTCTTGGAGGAATTTAGGCTTGTAGGAAACGTTGTCAATTTTTATCTGAACACATGATAATTTAAGCGAATATTTCCCATGTATTACTGGCATTGGTGCTGTATTTTTGAGGTGTGCCTAACCGGCGATAGAACTACCATTTCAACTTTCGAAAGAACTTTATAGGGCATATATTTTTTTGTGGAAATAAAATAGATCTGCTCAGTAAAGGTGAGTGTCTTCACCAAGTGTTGTCCACTCTATGTGAATTGTGAAGCGTACTCGAATGCTTTGGACCATGGACTCGGTGATTTTTAACCTCTTTTCTCCTTTGTTTTTATTTGCTACGTTTTTTAATCCTTGCATCTTATCCAGGACCTCTTTTAACATATAAACTGGGGGAGGCCAAGCTTCAGTGCTAGCCCCAATATGGTCCCTCCAGTCAACTATGTCCTCCTCCCCAGTGAAGTTCCCTACTGTCTAAAATATAAGTGAAAACGGGAGGAATAACTTAGTTCAGGAGAGTGTTGTAGTATTCCCATAACCAAACCTTTGACGGTCGGATGAATATATCAAAAAGTTGGATCTTTACAAATGTCGAAAATCAAGCCCTAGAGGCTCAAAAACACAAAACATCTCCGGGGGTTGATCCCCAGAGCCGCTGATTAAATTATCACTTTTTCAGTTTCCATCAGTGTCGCTCTTCCTATTTGGTCGCTCTTCCCACAAATTCGCCCACAAAGAGGCCCATATCTCATCGCGTCGATTTTATAAGTATCCCCTACATTTAGACCATTTATCGACTGTTGTAACCGCCATTTTATCTCCTTGAGGCATGGAAAATTCTTATTCGCAAGAAAACATTCTATATAAATTATACGGTACCTGTTGTGTCTCCATTCATGAGAAGAATATTGGGTTTTGGTGGTGGGACGGTGATTTTGGGTTTTTGGTGAGCAGCCTTACTTTTTGGAGGAGGAATTTGAGGCAGGTCGTCTTCTTTTGTACCAAGCGGTTTCGGAGTTATTTTGGAGTTGACTGGTTGTTTTGCTGCACTAGCATTCAGCAAGTCGTCCAGACTTTTTGTGGAATTCTTGACAGTGTCGTTCATATCATTGAATACTGTAGAAACAAGGCGTTATTAAGACACAGATAGCCATTTCAATTATGTCTAAATTATTCTTCCTAGATCAAGGGCTATCCTTATTGTTCCGGTTCTGCTACAATTGCTAGCTAGTGTACCCAGAAATAACCTGTGGTGAATGTCAAACCATCAATCTTTAATGCATGTGCAGGATTCTAACCACAATTTCAGAGTTGCAAGGCTCATGGAGAAACCACTTTGTAATTGTTAGAAAAGAAAATATAGTGAGCAATCCTAAATAAAGTAAACGTTGACTTGCAATGGTTGACTTTCGGCGTCTTGGAATGAAGTCGAATAATTTGTTGAATCCACAAGATTTTTATTCCCACACAGTTTATTACTGATTCAAACGCTAGTCATAACTGTTGATACTTAGAACTCATTCAAGTAATGAAAAAATATTTAGAAAAATAACCCTACCTCCAATAATATTCGGAGATCCGATAAATCTGACATAAGAAATCCGTGGATGATATTGCGACGAAACAGCGGGCTGGGTCCGACATCCGAGTTCCGTCTTGCACTCAACCGAGAAACAATTCTCTGAGATCATGAATGCCACATTGCATTTCGGGATTTCACAGCAGATGCGGCGACATTGTTGGATGTCCTGCACTTTGCCGTGATCTCGATACTTGCCGGCATTTAGACCCCCGGATAATGTTACCTTGTTGACCACGTGACCTTTTGGACAGGTTACGTGCGTGACCGTTTGCACGTCATTTCCTTGAATTTTGTCTATATATTGAGAAAGTAAACATGTAGATCATTGGTCATTACTGAAGAATAAAAGGGAATAAGACAGTCCACAGCCTGAAAAGTCACAGATATTAAAGCATGGAGTGTTCTCTCATAAGTTTTACACCCGAAACAGATGATCGAATAACTCGCGAAAATTCGTCCAATAATAATATTCGTCTAACCTGGCCTTTTACAATCTTTTAGGAAAACACTAGACATTACATATTATGTAGTATATTATACGGTAGATCAAGCTATTTAAACCTATTTGAGCGTGGATACTGTTTCTGGAGTTAAAACACTTTGAAACACGAAATCTTGTTTACCGAGGGAAACATGTATATGTGAAAAGGAGAGCTAAAACGTTTACGTTGACTGGCAGTTTGACCGTTGGCCCACAATTTTAAAATTAAAAAGCCGGCTTTTTTCCTGACAAAAAGTACATTGTGGTAAAGGTGCTTTAATTGCGCATTCATTGTTCAAATGTACAATGGCTGACCTAAAGAATGTAAACATTTTGCATGAGCTGACATAATCCTTTCCACTACCCTACTTTCCTTTACGAAAGAGAAGCCTTGGTAACCTCCTACCTTCTATTGCAGTACTCAAAGATATTTTATCCCTCGAAGCCACGTACGCAATCTGTGGGTTAAATATACTTGGCTGAGCTGGAATTGTTCGACACAGATCCTTGTTGTAACATTTAACGCTGAAGCAGTTTTGTCCCAACATGAAAGCGAGGTCGCATTTCTTACTGCGGCAACATATGTCGTAACAGTCTGATAGTTTCCCCACTTTGCCTACGTCTGTAAAGTCTCCTGCCTTCAACCCGCCTTTGAGGGTAACTTTCGTGAGCGGTGTCATCCTAGGACATGTGAATTGGATGCTATCCCCAGGGCTTTCAAAATGAACTGAAAGATAAACGAAAGAAGCTGTTAGTTCATGAACATTTACATTTTATGTTAAAAAGAATTTAGTTTATGGACATTAAAGTTTATGCCAGAACTGAGAAAGGTGGCGAGATGGCTAGCGGCTATACTCCTCTTATCCTTTTCAAATACTATATCCAGTTTCACGCAGTTTTCTTTAAGACTGCATGAAAACATTATTGATATATTATCAACACCTTATACAATTTTATCTTTTGATCAAAGCTTCGTCCAGTCCTTGGACTTGATTAAACTTCAGCCAGTTCTAGGACTTGATTAAACTTCATCCAGTCCTAGGACTTGATCAAAACTTTATCCTGTCCTATACGACGTAAATCAATCTTCATCCAGTCCTTGGATTTGATTAAACTTCAGCCAGTTCTAGGACTTGATCAAACTTCATCCAGTCCTAGGACTTGATCAAAACTTCATCCTGTCCTATACCACTACTTCATCCAGTCCTAGGACTTGTTTTCCGGGTTTGATAAATCATTCTTAAACGATTACGACTCGAATTCCAACGAACCTGTTGGTATTTCTGTTCACTATATAATAAACTTCTTCATGTGTATCATATATTTTTATTTCAGCTTTTAAAATATTTTTACCTGTATGTTTGACACCTTCAGTGTTCCACCTTGTGACGTATGATATCGTTGGAGTGTAGACTGATGGTTTAGCTTTATTCATCTGACAACTCTTCTCATCAGCACAGCCGACTAAATAACATCGCCCACCCAAAAGAAAGGCAAGGTCGCAGGCTGAAAACCCGCAACATTTTTTCTGACATTCAGGCATACCATTATTGACCATACCCATATCTTTGTATGTACCAGCATTTATACCTCCATGGAGTGTTACCTTTAATTTTACGTGGAAAACACGGTCATTAAATCAATGTGGTATGGTATGGTATAGTGTGGTGTGGTGTGGTATGGTATGGTATGGTATGGTATGGTATGGTATGGTATGGTATGGTATGGTATGGTATGGTATGGTATGTAATATTTCAAATCCGACTGTGAGGACAGGACTAGATTTCAAGTCCGCGCAATTTGATTGAGTCCGAGGCGAAGCCGAGGACTGGGTCAAAATGCGAGGACATGAAGTCTAGTCCAGTCCGAATTGGAGGATTTGAAATGACATCTCATGCGAATAAATTACTATTTAATTAATGTTGTTCCAGTCCAAGGACTGAATTAATTTTGATCCATGTACCAGCATTTATACCTCCATGGAGTGTTACCTTTAATTTTACGTGGAAAACACGGTCATTAAATCAATGTGGTATGGTATGGTATAGTGTGGTGTGGTGTGGTATGGTATGGTATGGTATGGTATGGTATGGTATGGTATGGTATGGTATGGTATGGTATGGTATGGTATGTAATATTTCAAATCCGACTGTGAGGACAGGACTAGATTTCAAGTCCGCGCAATTTGATCGAGTCCGAGGCGAAGCCGAGGACTGGGTCAAAATGCGAGGACATGAAGTCTAGTCCAGTCCGAATTGGAGGATTTGAAATGACATCTCATGCGAATAAATTACTATTTAATTAATGTTGTTCCAGTCCAAGGACTGAATTAATTTTGATCCATGTACCAGCATTTATACCTCCATGGAGTGTTACCTTTAATTTTACGTGGAAAACACGGTCATTAAATCAATGTGGTATGGTATGGTATGGTATGGTATGGTATGGTATGGTACTGTATGGTATGGTATGGTGTGGTATGGTATGGTATGGTATGGTATGGTATGGTATGGTATGGTATGGTATGTAATATTTCAAATCCGACTGTGAGGACAGGACTAGATTTCAAGTCCGCGCAATTTGATCGAGTCCGAGGCGAAGCCGAGGACTGGGTCAAAATGCGAGGACATGAAGTCTAGTCCAGTCCGAATTGGAGGATTTGAAATGACATCTCATGCGAATAAATCACTATTTAATTAATGTTGATCCAGTCCTAGGACTGAATTAATTTTGATCCAGTCCAAGGACTGAATCAATGTACTTCATCAGGTATCCAGTATTATCATGTGAGCAAAATAAAGCAATATGGTTGGCTAATTTACTCATGAATTATTAATGAGTTTGAGATGGTATGGTATGGTATGGTATGATATGGTATGACGTGGTATGGTGTGGTGTGGTATGGTATGGTGTATGATATGAACTGTCTGTGCCAGTGTAGGTAGTGCTAAATGCCATGCAATTAATAATATGAACAAGCTTTCGTTCGTAGGGATGCAACTACCTGAAAACACTCGTAATAGCGATATAGAAAACATGTGAGTCGTCTAGATTTATGTATTTTTGTAGTTTAAAATGATATTAAAAACATACTAACCTCTTTGAATATTTTACCAGCTTTACATTGTCCTGCCATTCCAGCCATAGCGGGATTAGCCCCGGTCGCCAGAGGACTTTTCTTTGCCAAAAGACCTGGATTTGCTAGAACGTCCAGCGTTGTGTTTGCTATAGAAATAGATGTTTGAATTATTTATAGATTTAAGTTTACTATACGATGTCATAAACGCCTTCTCATAAATGTCAACTTTCAGCCTTGTTTCAATTTAGTCTTCGCTTAGTCTAGTCTAGTCTAGGATAAATATGAATCAAACCAAACCTCTAAAGATGTATAAATTAAGCGTAGCTACTAATTGGGGACACTATTTAGCTATGATAGTTAAAATATACTTTTTATACCGGCAGGGTGTATAAAACAACGCAACCTCGGAATTTCCTAAGAAATCCACTTTGCAATTCTTAACCATAAAAGAGTTTGGGGCCGTGAGAATTGAAGTCGAATTGCTAATAGATCATATTATATAGCCTATATTTGACAAGGCCCTTGATAAATTAACTGTTGTTGTACTGTACTTGTAAAGTTAAAACTTATCAAGTGTCATTAAATAAATGCATAAATTTTGCTTTATGCACTCGCGTGTGCAGTAATTTTGACAGTTGTGCTATTTTAAATTCCCAGGCACCTAAAATCCTTTGTCCTTAAAACAATGTCGATTTCTTGGGAAATTCCGAGGTTGCCTTTTTTTTATACACCATGTACAAGAAATAATACATACTTGAATTACTATTTTACAAAAAAAATAGATAACTTAGAATCCGGCTAATTTCAAAGTAGAATTCTTTGTCATTGCAAGTGCCATGGAATCAATTTATAGTTTAGAACTGATACCACAAGTATGGATTACAATTTATGATTAAAGTAATATATTCTACCTATGGGAGTTGGTTATTGTTTTGAATTGAGACTGGACGGAGAACATATTATTATAATGAGGCCACGAGCAAGAAGCGTGTCGTGTGGCGACGAGCTATACAGCTAGAAAGGCAAAACTGTCTGTATTTACACTGAAACTTCAGGCGCCAAGCGATAATAGCAGCGAATAACGATTGTGTACCATGGCTAGAAATAAATTACAAGAATGATAATCGTTTATATATGCTCCGCATTTGGAAATATACAAAGCCAGAAATATTCATCCGAACTAAGTAGAACGTTGAAGCCGTAGCTGATCACAACACTGAAAGTTCATTGCTCTGCATGGTCGTCTGTATTAGGTGAGGTATTACAAAGTGTATTAAAGACTATCACTCATGCAGCATTCTTGTGCTCTGTGAAACGATAAGTTGTGTATTCTGTGACAATGCACTCTGAAAGTTTGGAAAAGTAACTCGGGTCGAGTTTGTATCACTTTGTCATGAGTCATGGCGTTGGGGACAAAGACCGATTGTGGTTATTAGTGCACATAGGACCCTGCTTTGATTCCTGCAATGTGCAGTTCTTTACTTCTTATTATAGTTACTATAAAAACCAAAATAATTGACGGGTTGATTTCGCTTCGCCTTCATCTTTTCCAGTCGATTTATTGCCTTGGCTAGCCATATTTTATAAATTTCAACCTTCAACAAGCAAATACATGTGAATAATATATATTTACTTAAATATTTTCACATTTAGACAAGACACAAATTAAATGGGAAAGAGGTTGGCACAAATATTGAATTTGTTTGGTATGTAGTATAGTACTTTATATTTTTTAAGAAGCATGATAATTCGTACACTCAGTTCGTTTCAGAATTCCGTAATTGCAATTTGAAAAGTATATTGTCATTTTGGTTATTCCGTGATCAACAGTACATGATTGAAGTACAACATAGGCCTACAATTCTCTCTAGCCAAATATTTTTGAAATCCATAGCGTGTACATTAATACTGCATTGAAGTTAATACCATGCCTGCATCCTCGACAGAAAAGGCATATTGATTGATCAATTAATTAATTTATTGATTGATGAATTTATTAATTAATTAATTAATTAGTTTATTGGTTGATTAATTTATTGATTGAATAAATTTATTAATTTATACATTGATTAATTTATTGGTTGATTAGTTTACTGATTAATTTATAGATTGATCGATCTGTTGATTAATTTATGAATTAATTGTTTATTGATTAATTTATTGATTGAATAATTTGTTGATTGAATAGATTTTTGATTGAATAATTTATTGATTGAATTAATGACTTATTCAAGAACGAAAGATTGATTGAATTGAATTGATTTAATGACTACTGACTTTGTAACCCAAAAAGGTTAAATTACACCAGTATTACATAAATTAAGAGGATAAGTCAAAATTACATAATAATTACATATTTAAGATTATTTACATTTCTAAAAACTTATTTACTGTTAATCTTTAATATACTTTGAGGTAAAAACGAATTCTTAAAACGTTCGGTTCTGCAAACATAATTATGATATTTACATATCGGTCTTAGATCATATCCAGATAAAACTGTTTGTGGTAAAAGATCTTTGAGATTTTCATTGTCAATATTCTTCTCAAAGAAATGTTCGCATAATTTTTCTCGGCGATCTCTCAGTGACGTGATGTTAGTCGTGATCAGCGCTTCGTCGTACTTTTGCGATGGGAGGATGATTCTCAACGCGCGTTTTTGTATTTTTTCAATATCGTCACATAAATATTGTTGGATATTGTAATGCCAGACCTGGCATGCGTACTCTAAAACAGGCCTAATAATGGTGGTATATACAGTAATTAACGTGTCAATACACGCGATTGAAGAATAAAGAAATACTTACATGATTTCTTAGCTACTTTCTTCACATGTGCTATCAGGACTTGTACGTCTGATGTATCCGTTGTGGTGGACTCACATTCATCGTCGCTAACACACTCGACAGCGTAACAATTCTGGGCAGACATGAAAGCAACATCGCATGACATCTCTTTACAACATAAATGAATACAAGACTTCATTTCTGTGACTTTTCCCATCTTCTTGAATGTTCCTGCGCCAATTCCACCTTTCAATGTGACATTTTCTTCTATCGGTGTCTTCGTGCATTGTTGAAAGTAGTCTGCTAGTAATGGAACTGACAAATATACGGACAAATTGGTATATAAGCTTTCCTTGAGAGACTTGAGAAGCATTAAATAATTATATAATATTGAAATTTAGATCTTCTTTCATCGGTGCCTTCGTGCACTGTTGAAAGTAGTCTGCTAGCAATGGAATTGACAAATATATACGGACAAAGTTGGTATAAGCTTTCCTTGAGATATTTGAGAAGCATTGACTAATTATATAATATTGAAATTTAGATGTTCTTTCATCGGTGTCTTCGTGCATTGTTGAAAGTAATCTACTAGCAATGGAACTGACAAATGTACAGATATATTTGATATAAGCTTTCATTGAGGGATTTGAGAAGCATTAAATAATTTTATTGAAATTTAGAATTTCTTCTATCGGTGTATTCATGCACTGTTGAAAGTAGTCTACTAGCAATATGGAAAAGACACGTAATATACTTATACAGATAAAGTTAATATAAGCTTTCATTGAGAAATTTGAGAAGCATTCATTTATATAATTCATATTTAGATTTTCTTCCTTTGGTGCCTTCGTGCATACATTGTTGAAGGTCGTCTGCTAGTAATGGAACTGAATGATAAATGATACATGCATGACTCATACTACTTTTATCCTGATGTCGAATGTATGAATTAGACGTTTGTATTTTGCCTATTGATCGATCTTTCTTTCGTTTAACATTCACGTTTACAAATACTAAATGGCTGCATGCTCAGATGAGGCGATCGAGATGATTCGCGAATACCGAGATCCAACCCCTTATATTGTTTTTATATATTTTCGAGATATAATTCACATGGGAACTGGGGTTCTGTTTGATCAAGGGCAGATCATTTCAGGGCTCACAGTGCATACTTTATTCCACCTCGAATTAGAAACGGTATACAACGGTATTATACAAGTACAGAAGTAACGAAACCAAACTTCCCAAAGTAGAATATCAGTTTGCGAAATGAACAGAAAATTAATTCCTTCCTACAACATTTGCCAGGTTAGCACATCTCATGTGAAGCAAATGTTAACTGGTCTGGCAAACGTACACGCGCGACCAGCCCGGCTCATATGATTAGCCTCCACTGAATTGTAAATTTCATGCACCTATAAAAACGTCAGTTATATAGAGCAGTATAATCGTTTAAACGTTTCGCAGAGTTGGAAAAATTCGCAGAGTTGGAAAAATTTTTGTGTCACTGTTAATAATATACTATTTGTGCAGATTTTTGTAATTTCAATGTTTGTCATAATAATTTAAAGATTTGCGTGAAAATTGCATGCAAGTTTCAGCCAACAAAAGCTTCAACGTCAGCGCAACGATTACTGCGGTTTTGTAATAAACTTCAATAATGTTTTAATGAAATTAGCGACGAATAGTCCTAAGGATTATATCGGCTAACTCCGATTTATTTACGGACGTTTTAGTCAAACTAGCGTACTTTACTAAAAGCCCTTTGAAATATCGTTGTAGAAAAGAGTAAAATACGCGAACAGATTCAGTCTTTAAAGTTAAACACGACTGTTGTTGATGTTGAAAAGCAGCTATTCTCGGTTGACTGCTTTGGCATACACGTGTCATAAAATTCTATAGTTTCTCCTACGTTGGAATGAACCTCTTCAGTAAATATATTGAGATATTATATATGATATGAAAATATATTCAAGATACGTGAATATATATTAGTATATTGTATAATGAAAGCTCTTCTACCTGCGAAGACCAACAATAGCAGCAAAACTTTCCGACACATCTTTTCCCAGTCAATTGCGATTTTTGCTTATACAACAAGTCCTTTGTCAAGTTACATCCTTTGCTAAAGTTCCAACCATTCAAAATAAATGTGTAATATTTTCCTCCATTTTTGTTAAAGTTTAAATAAAGTATATATTAAGCCATTGCATTCCTTGACAGGAACAAAGAACAGCCGTGCTTTGACAAAAGGGCCACTTGAACAGCCAATCAGAAGACAGGAAACAACACAACACCAGAAGGTTAGGTAAACTACTATTGCTTACTATTATAAATATCGACGGAATTTAAATAGAGGAAATTTGAAAGCAGAAATGGGTGAGGATAGATTCAATACAAAATCGGATGAAATTGTATTTGAACTTGCATATATTTAGTGGGGACAATACAAATTTCAATCCATATTCAAATTTAACTGCACGTCTGTCGAGATTTGCTTTCTTGCAAATTATCTATCCTGCAAGCATTAATCTTTCGAATCAGAGCAGTATGGTTAATTTGTACTGGAACTGGATATATCATATTCTGCGAGCGACCGAAACGACCATCTTTCAATTTCGGTTACGCGGTAGCAGTTTTAAAAAGATTGAGACGTTTTATCAATTCTTTGTGGTGTTCCTTCTTGTTCCAAGAATCATAATGGTAACAGACATGCTCTAAGGTGTTCTAACAAGACCAATTGTACTCAGAGTAACATCACAAGCATTATATTCACCTGAGTACATTACACCAACACAGAAAAATCATTACTGATTATTAGATTACATTTGATATCGAAGGAACTAGATTCTGTTCCGAAATATCACATACTCGAACCGATCTGACCGCGTGGCTCAGTTGGCAGAGCATTGGGCTAGTATTCCAAAGGTCGTAGGTCCGATTCCCACCGTGGTCAGGCATATTTTTCAAGCTTGCCCGGTGTGGATATACACTCGGAGTAACATCACAAACATCATATTCACCTGAGTACATTACACCAACACAGGAAAATCATTACAATTGTAACAAGTTGCTACGAGCTTGTTGGCTCAATTTGTTAATAACTTGTTACGTGCAGACGATATCAGATTTGCTGAAACAATTTGTTGCGTGTCTGTTGACCTCATCAACCTTATTACAAGATTATAACAACTTGTTCCAGACTTGTCAGATTGTCAACAAGATGTTTTCGCATTGTTCCCAATCTGAGAGATTTTTCGCGTATACATGTATATGAAAATGTAAAATCCCACTGGGGGCAGTTAATTATAAATGTTGGCCATTCAGCGGGAATCGAAGCTGTTGTTTTCTCAATTCCGGTGCAGCGGTCTGACCACTAGAGCAAGCCATAAATTCATTAGACTATAAGACCATTGAATTTACACATGATTGTTGAATTTTACTGAATGGCATGTGGGTTGCTTAAGTGCTTTCCCCGAGTCTGCGGCGCGCAGCATCATCGAGACGTTGGCCCCGGGCCGAGGTTATTTACACTCAGTCCAAATCAATGCAAAACATTCGTATAATCCCCAACGGTGCGCTGCATGCTTGACTGCATGGAGCACTATTTGCGCAAAACTTTAAATAATTGACTGGTTTCTGGTAGCTCCTGATTGGTCGAAATAGTATGCTCGCATTTTTTCATAAGATAAAAATATTTGTACGAATGGTGAAATCGCTCTTCATAATAAAGCCTAAAGGGTAATAATTGATGTCTTTACAAATCACATGCAAAATTGTTATTGATTACCACCAGGAAATTGAGCAGGTCACAGTGTGCAAAAATGACAGGTACTGAAGACTGAAGTTACCTTTTACTTTGCCAAGTAAAATGCAAAAGATTTTGTTTTTCATGCCCAGGCAATCCTAATTGTTAGATGATTTCAAACACATAAACAGATCATTTCAGACCTTTCCCAGGATTTCCCAGGAACAACCTCGACTCAGGTCACTTTTCCGCGCGGTTTCGGTTGACACGTCATTTCCGAATTGCGTTGTTGTTTTGACTATTTTTTAATAGTACCTATATAGTTGACCTTTTTATAAGCTTTCTTTTCATGTATATTATTTGTAATTCTATATTATTTCTTTGGCCAAGTTTTAATACTTTAGTACCAGCTTTAAATAATCCTGATCCCAGCATCCTCGTTCCCAGGGCTTCACGCCAAGGTCCTCGCGCATGTAATCTCTGATGAATGAAATTTGAACCAAGAGATGAGGAATTATACAGTTTTACATTAGTTGCTTCTCCGATCATGGCAAAGATGCCAAATTGAGATGAGTAATAACTATATATAGAAATCATTATGACTCTATTGTTAATTCTATACAAGAGAAAAGCATGACTGCCTCAGATTTTTTATTTCCACTTCTGCACTTTAAAATATCGATATCGTTGTAATCTGGCTCTGTTCGTGGGAGTACACAATACTGTAGGTACATAATCACAAGGGAATTTTTCTGCTCCTCTATAGCATCATATCACAAGCTTGCAGTTTCATCTTTGAATATCAAACTAAAATCAAACTAATAGTCTATAAACTATCCCTAAAGCAGTAGTAAAGTCCACTAGTCAAATGCAAAGAATTGTTCTATCATTTTTCTTTTCTGGCATAGGAATCCTCGTCATCGTCTTTTTTTGAAGTATTTAGTGCAGGTGTAAAATTTCTAGTGTAGCTCTAGTGTGGTCCATTCTTTTGTGACTGAGTTCCGATCACATGCTGCTCTTAAACCTTCATATGTTCTAATTCGTCTTGGCATGTTTGAGAGCTTCATTATCTTGATCATCATCGTCATCCCCATCATCATCGTCATCGATATCTTCATCAATGTTGTTCTTGTTATCGATGTGATGGTGAACTTCGTACGGATCTAAAATGATTAGCGATAATAGCAAATTGATTAGAACAACGTTTTGCGCAAGTTGGTCATAACATTACAGTAGTGCGATCTAGGTACGATCCAGTGATCGGAATATTGCCTTTTGATTGTTTTTATAATCCCATCTCCAGACCATTCCGTCACTCACTGCTTTGCCGTTTCTGAAAAAGGGACTATTTGGAACCGTATTAAGGTCTAGCTTTTCACTCTAGTGTGAATATGAACTGAAAATCCATTTCTTACCTTTGTATAGATTTTCTCTCTCCACAAAAGCCAATTTTGGTTTCTTGGAGTACGCTGAGGGCGGTGCGGGCCTTGACTGACAATATTCCTTATTAACACACCTCACGGTATAACATTTATCCTCCAGCATCACAGCCACATCACATTTCACGTCCTGACAACATTTCTTGACGCAGGGTTTGATTCTTTTGATACCCGGATGTGGCGTCAAATCCCCTGAGATCATGCCCGCGCGAAGAACCGCATTCTTTTCCACCCGTCCTTTTACACGGCATCGCATTTGCTGTTTCTTCTCTTTTGTCGTCATCGGCACACCATCTAGATAAATAAACATCTTAATTACGTTGAACAAAACGATTTCCCGACACATTCATGCACATTCTATACTTCTGTGGTGTAATTTTTGTAGTAATTTTTCAGGACATTAGCAAAAAATCCTTAATTGCCCTTGGATTTTAAAATCAAATCATGTTGAATTTTTCCAAAACAATTGTTGCTGATGTGGTATTTGTATATATAGATATATAGTTGAAGATATATAGAATCATTATAAGTTATCGAAATATTGAAAGAGTATTCCCGTTGTTAATAGAGATGTTCAGATTTGACTTCCGCTACCGCTATTTTCCACTGGCTTAGCACGCATCTGATTGATTGATCGAATATATCAAACGCATCTGATTGGTTAATTGGATATATCAAACGCATCTGATTGGTTAATGGTAGCGATAGTGGAAGTTAAATGTGGATCTATCTAACAAGCTTTCAAATACACACTTTTTTGCAGTGATGAGCAATAAAGTGAATATTAAACTTACCTTTTCCAAACTGGACGTTATATTTTCTTTTTACGATATACTGAACAGAGGTATCGGTAGTTTTGTTCTTTTTCTTGTCCTCTATTCCAGCTCCGATAACACGGCACTTCTTCTCGTCAGCACATTTAACCAAGAAACAAGACTGCCTAACCATATAGGCGAGATCGCACACCGGTTCCTCACAGCATAGCCTTGTGCAGATGTGCATTCTGCCTACCTTTCCTACATCTGTGAAGTCGCCCGCTTTGGAGCCGCCACTAATTTTGACATTGTTGTAGACTTTACTTTGGGTGCACTGAATGTGGTGCGGTGATTGACCAGATGGAACTGTTACTAAAAAGATATATCAAAGAAGATACAGTTATAAAATTATGTTGCCTTATCATTGTTTAAGAGGAGTCATTGCAATAAAAATTCAGGCCAGCTCATTCGAAAGAACTTCTGAAATAATCAATAAGATATTCATCAATAAATTCTGGAGAACCATGCCCCCGGCCGATTAAACATGAATGGGGTTTTATTCCTGTATATGAAGACTTCATCTGCCGTTCTTTCTTTCTGTTTCTTGAAGAAGCTTTATCGCATTATCCATCCCTACCTAACTTCTTGTTAGTCTTGTAAAGCCACGGAGCAACGAACGCCATTTTCTGTTCGAAATTAAAATCAACCGAAGGCGAAGGCAATGCTTGACATCGTTCCTCGTTATAACATTTCACCAAATAACACCTATCTTTGAGCAGGAACGCCAAATCACATTTTTTCTGTGTTTGACAGCAGTATCTAATGCATGTTTTGATACTTCGGACTTTGCCGATATCTGTAAATTTTCCCGCCAAAAGTCCACCACGTAATTTGACGTTGTACATGACTTCGTTGTGAGGGCATTTTGCATCCAGGTCGAACTTTTCTTTATCCTTTGGGTCGAGCGTATCTGTAGAGTGGGAAATGACATATTGTATCCTCGTGTATATTTTGCAATATCGAAGCTGTTGTACGAGGGCTTTAATTATATGAAGTTTCAACATGGAAGTTGCCTATGAGGGGAAGGAAGAAGAGAAATTTTGTTGCCTAGCGTGTACACTGAGCACCATATCGAAATTGTCACAGTTACAGTGTTAGCAAGATTAAATCTTTTAGGCAAATTAGGAAAGGTGAAGGTATAAGATGGCCAGTGGCGCCGTGGGACCCATGTTTTTGGGGGCGCCAAGGGCAGTACTTTTCCGACAAACCGAAAAATTTTTCCGACAAACCAAAAATTTTTCCGGACGACAACATTTTAAATCTTCACCCCTCTCGACAACTTTGACAATTTCCGACAACATTGACAATTTTCCGACAATTTCCGACAACATTGACAATTTTCCGACGGGTCTCAACAATAGGGGGGGCCATGGCCCCCCCGGCCACGGCGCCACTGAAGATGGCGGGAATTGACGTTGTCCAATATCTACGCAGGTCACCGGTTTAAATCCAAGTCAAAACACGAAATATAGTTTGTACTTTCAGCCTCGTGTTAATATACTACTGCAAAGGAGTGGCACTGGATGTCAATTTCCGCCATTGCGTGTCCGCCTCTGCGTGTCAGGCTCTATGCTTGAAGTAGAGCCTGCTACTGAAGTCAATAAAAAGTGTATTTATGCGTACGAATAGTACGCAAAATTCCCATTTGTCAGAAATAAATAGCCTCGCCTTTTACTGTAAGTTAATATCAAGTTGTTGTATAGGTAATATGATATTCCGTACTTGTAATACGTTATTCCGCACTTGCTTTTGCTGTCTATAAACACGGCCAATAAACATTATTATTATTTAGTATGTAATTCCTAGCTGTTTAATTATAGGCCCTAATTGGAATATTTTTTCGAGATATTGGCGGAAAAATTGGCCATTATTGTCATATTTTAAACTAGCTTTGATAATCTAATTAATTAACAATCGCCGTTTTGATTGGTTGTTATTTTTGTACATCCAAATCACTGTCCACTTTTTATTGACTTCAGTAGCAGGCTCTATTTCAAGCATAAAGCCTGACACACAGGCTACTTCTTACCAATATTCACACTTTCTTTCGGCGAGACATGCGCAATCTGCATATCCTGTTCGATAGCCTTGCCTTCAGCCGGTACAGTTTCACACATAGTAGAATTATAACAACGAACTCCATAGCAACGGTTGCCAACCATCATGGCGACATCACATTTTTTAGCCATACAGCAATTGTGGATACATTCCTGGATGTTCTTAGTGGGACCGTGGTTTCTGAACGAGCCCGCCATTGTGCCTCCTTTTAGGGTAACATTATATTGGATATCAGCCTGACCGCAGTTGTACTCTTCCAGCACTGTGTGGCCTGCTATCCTTGCTAAGAAATTTTGGAAAATATATGAACTTTACTTAAGCATTTGACATGCAATCATCTATATGTCCAACTATCTGCACTAGTAAAAGCCCTAATTATGAGGTTGAACTTTAAAGATGATGTCCACTCCTGTGCGCATGCGCGAACTTTGTTTACGTTTTGAACTGCTATATTTGTAAAATATGATCATAGAGAATATAATATACTAACTGAATATCTAACACTTTTCTGGTTCGTTATGCTTGTAAATGAATATAAACTCTACTTTTCAATTCAAAAAAAAAGTTTGAAAAATGCAAAGTTTGAGCAATGTTTATATCTGGGGGTCCCCCTTTGTTGAATTGAATTGAATTGAATTGATTTAATGACTACTGACTTTGTAACCCAAAAAGGTTAAATTACACCAGTATTACATAAATTAAGAGGATAAGTTAAAATTACATAATAATTACATATTTAAGATTATTTACATTTCTAAAAACTTATTTACTGTTAATCTTTAATATACTTTGAGGTAAAAACGAATTCTTAAAACGTTCGGTTCTGCAAACATAATTATGATATTTACATATCGGTCTTAGATCATATCCAGATAAACCTGTTTGTGGTAAAAGATCTTTGAGATTTTCATTGTCAATATTCTTCTCAAAGAAATGTTCGCATAATTTTTCTCGTCGATCTCTCAGTGACGTGATGTTAGTCGTGATCAGCGCTTCGTCGTACTTTTGCGATGGGAGGATTATTCTCAACGCGCGTTTTTGTATTTTTTCAATATCGTCACATAAATATTGTTGGATATTGTAATGCCAGACCTGGCATGCGTACTCTAAAACAGGCCTAATAATGGTAGTATATACAGTAATTAACGTGTCAATACACACGTTGGACCTTTTTAGCAGTCTTAGCATATAGAGCCTCTTGCTAGCTTTTTTAACTATGTTATTTATATGTTCATTCCACTTCATGTTATCTTGGACTGTGAGGCCAAGGATACGGGCAGATTTCTCTCGTTCAATATTAACTTTATCGACTGTTAAAGGGGGAAAGCAATGCTTCTTTTTTGCAAAATCAATAACCAGTTCTTTGCATTTTCCAATGTTTAATTTCATATTATTACTCGTAGTCCAATTATTGATGTAATTAACCAGTTCTTGAAGGTTGCTGTTACAATCTGGGCCAATGGTTTCGGTAGTGGTGGTGTCGTCAACGTATTTCCATCGGTCTTTCCAATCAGCGAGGAGATCGTTTATCATGATTAGGAAGAGGATTGGGCCTAAAACAGTTCCCTGGGGTACTCCACCGTTGAGGATTTGCCATTCTGACACACAATGGGGCATTCTGACCCGTTGGCTTCGTTGAGTAAGAAAACTTCTTATTCAGTTTGTTATTAATGATGGAACGTCCATATCAGATAATTTACTGAGGAGGATGTTATGATCGATATGATCAAAAGCTTTGGAGAAGTCTAATAAAAAAATTCTCACAGCGTTTTTCGGCACATCAGTTTCGTTTAATAAGTGATGGAGAAGGCTCAATAATGCATGTGTTGTTGAAGAGTTTTTTAGAGATCCAAATTGCCGTTTATCGATCTTCTCACCAATCAACTCCATCAGCCAGTCTGCGACAAAACGTTCACACGTTTTTGACAAAGTGGCAGTAAGCGAGATGGGACGCAAGTCTTTATTTAGTAATGTCCCTCAGCACCTTATTTTTAGGTACAGGGATGACGTCGGCTTTTTTCCATACCCCGGGAACAGACGCCTGTTGAAGGGAGGCGTTGAAGATTGAAGTAACAGGGGAAGACAGCAGGGGCGCATAATCTTTTAGGACCCAATTCGGTATTTCATCTGGACCAGCCGCTTTCGAGGATGATATTGAAGATAATTTATAATAAATGTCTTCTTCCCTAATAATGTACTCGGTTGGAATTGTAGTACAATCGCTTTGTAATTGGCTATCGGGGAAAGGGATAGGACTAAGGGGGGGAATATCTCGAGTAACGGATACGAAAGCCTCGTTAATTTTTTCAGCAAGTTGCTTTCCAGAGACGACTTGCTCTCCTAGGACAATACTTGAAAAAGATTTCTTCTTAGGGTAGCCAGCTATTTGTTTTACGGTGTCCCACCATTTCTTAGGATCAGGGTTACGTTTCAATTGTTTCAATTTATGTTCTAAGAATGCGGATTTAAGGTACTTACTTTCTCGATTGGCACGATTACGTAGTCGCCGGTACAATTTGTCATTTTTCTGAAAAAATGCCTTCTGTCTGTTTTTAATAAGTTCCTTGTATGAAGGTGTTATCCAAGGCTTATCTCGGTCGTGCATTTTAACTACTTTACATGGAAGTTATTGTTATGAGCAGAACTGATGCGCAGAACGGAGTGGAAATCATCTTTCTCTGGAGGATCATACATGATCAGGGTAATTTGTACATCGAACTTTGATGATCTTTAATCTTTAATCCGATACTCCTAAATCGGCTTACACTATACTAGGAGAACTATACTATGATCTGAAGTCATGTATCAAGATTTTGGGCCTCGCTCGATAGAACTAACAGTTGTTGCGTTTTTGTAGATGAGTTTCGAGCGAAAGCTTGTATGCAATTTTTAGACACATATTAACAACTCCACAGAGTGCTCAACAACACCGAAATGAAGGAGCGTCATCGAGCGATATATTCGTATATGAAGCCCTACACAAAATGCATGTATAATTTTGATTTGCAACATAGGGAAAACAACTGGACCATATATGTTACTTCCAGGAATATATATTTTATAGTCGGTTACAAAGGAGTAGGTTTTCCATGATAAGTTTTTAACTTATAAGTTATGCCCAAAATCTTGATGCATGACTTCAGATCATAGTATAGCCTATATTTCTCCTAGTATAGTGTAAGCCAATTTAGGAGTATCAGATTAAAGATTAAAGATCATTAAAGTTTGATATACAAATTACCCTGATCATGTTTGATCCTCGAGAGTTTAAAGATGATTTCCACTCCGTTCTGCGCATCAGCTATGCTCATAACAAAGGGGGACCCATAAACATTGCTCAAACTTTGCATCTTTCAAACTTTTTTGAATTGAAAAGTAGAGTTTATATTCATTGCTTTATTTATACTCACCGCTTGGCCAAATGACATAGTGGTATTTTTGTCTTCATAGCCTATGTAATAGCATTTAATGAACCGAAGATATGAAATATCAAAGCACAGTGAAAATAGCATTCAATGAACCGAAGATATGAAATATCAAAGCACAGTGATCAAAGTCGCATTGCACGAGTGCAATTAATGCGATAATAGGGTAGTGTCGAAAAAGACTTGACTATTCCTGTGTCATATGAAAGAAAATGTGACACGCAGAAATCGAACGAAAATTATGGCAAGAAAAGTCGGTCTTGCCGTTTGCCGCGTTCCCGCTAACGTGAAGCTTAAACTCCATAATGAATGCTTTCCGTTTCCGCTACGCGAATGCGGAGAAAATGGATACATAAATCTCTCTCTCTACTACGCATGTGCTGCAAAGAATAAATCATAGGAAGAAAGCACAAGGCTGACGGATGCTACTCATATATGAGCTGTGTTCCTACTCATATGAGCTGTGTTCCTATAAGAATTTGCTATAGCAAGATTCCATTCATAACCGATGCCATGCGAGACAGGATGATCAAATTGTATTTGACTTACGGTCATGCACGAATGACAAAAGTCGTTCGCATATGACAGATATATATATTCACTGGACACTGGAACTATATTCGTTTATGGAATCGGTTACAAATGGCCGAATTGCATTACAAAAAATTATAAATCACGAACGAACTTTTGCTAAGCGTATGGCTCGTGTATTATAAATTTACGGAAACACTGTTATAGACTAAGTTAACATTATCTTATCATAGACTGTCTCTTACATTCACATTGAAGATGCACTTACCGAAAATATGAAACCATATTGAAATCACTGCCAAAAGAACAATTACATTATCCTTATCCATCTCTTAGAGATTCACAGTTTTTGACCGGTATTGTCTACATTTTATAAATTCCTACAGTTATTTTTTTATAAGATTGTTATATTTTCCAAACTTTCCACATGTAAATAAGTGAGTTGTATTTTGTATTATTGTATGTCTTTATGTTCATAGGAAAATATTATATATTCATGGTACCTGTCTACTTCAATGTTTCTTTGTCTGACCGAGTGTCCACCAGTACCCCTCAGTATCGCCATGGCAACAATAATATAAGTAACATAAATTTGAAAGTTGATCCGAGGCAGCGCGTAGAAAACCCGTTCCTTTATTCCTTTATTCCTTTCCCTTTCTTACTAATTAAATATTTCAGCGAGATTTTATTTTATTGCATTTGACAGTGCTTCTTTCTTGGAACGAATTATTTACAATTGAAAGTGAGCCCCGAACATTTTCCTCTGCCATATATAATTTGAATTTTTTTGACTGGTCGCCTAATGGACTTGCTTTAGTCATGAAAACTTCTTTATAAACAGGGAAACAGACTTCATGCAGAATTTAGATTGATTTTATAGGTAAACAAGTTCATCTTTTGCAACGGTCTAAATAGCATATGTTATGTGCGTGCAGTTTATGTATACTTGTACTGGTCTTAGTACCAAGTTATTTGCTTTCTTTTCCCTCGGTGTCGGTATGGTATGGTGGAATTGATTGAACTTTAGGCTATACAATTCCAGTATATATATGTTGTGCTTTATAAATCTATATATACGCTACATATACGGTAGTTTACATATTATTTTTATAATATTATTTTTACATGAATGAAAAAATAACTCAAATGTTACCATTGTAAGCTTAAAGATGCTGCAAAGTCCGTAACTCAGTGCTACAGTTGTACAGTAAAATAGATATATATTTTTTTTCTGAATTTTTAACACTCTTCGCATGGTTCGCATGCAGTATATATAAATTAATACTAAAACTGTCTGTACCAGTGTAGGTAGTACCAATGTAGAAATGCTGTGCTGAGTGGTTATATTACTACCTTAATTTAAAAAATAAGCAGAAACTCGACGTTTCGAGCGAAGGCCCTTCGTCAAGCCTACTAACTTTTGGCGAAGGGCCTTCGCTCGAAACGTCGAGTTTCTGCTTATTTTTTAATTAAGGTAGTAATATAACCACTCAGCACTGTATATAAATTAATACAGACTAGAGATTCAATTCAAGAAAATTCGGAAGGTGCGAAATATTATCATAATAACATTTCAATTAGCTATTTCAATGGTCCGGTCTCGACCATTGGAATGTAGGCCTGCGCAGAATGGACTTTACAGCATCTTTAAACTACTAACATGAACTACTGTTTAGAGTATCCGCTTTCTCTGTTTTATCCTGCGATGATGCAAATTCATTGTCGTTTTTTTGTAAAACATTTACTACTGCATGTAGAACATCATCCAGAAAATCACCGCCACCAATACTCTTCTGCTCGTCTTCACTCTCAACTTTATCAGATGAACCGTCCAAGTTTTCGAGATCAGCGGAATCTAAGCCATTCTTAATATTGTCGGTTTCATCTCTATTTTGATTCAAATTCTCCTTTGCCAAAGAATCTGTAGTCATCTTTTCAGAAGCATCAATTCTGTCGTTTGTTAAATTATCAGTTAAATCCGCTGGGTCTGCAGTTGTTGTGTCGCCCAAAGTTTCGCTTATATCAACAGATACATCGTCCAAATCCGTAGCCAGAAAAGATTCATTTTTTGAAGTTGAATCATCAGTTTGTGTCACGCCTTCCGTGGGCGTTTTCGTATGATCACCGTCAGTTTTAGGTCTTTCGTCAATCCCTAATCCTACAATATCAGCAGGATTGTTTTCACTATTTTCAGAGGAACTATCATCAGATTTTGGAAGAGTATTTCCTTCTTCAAGCTCATTACTGTCTGTAGTAAGCAAACTCATTCCAACTTCGCTATAATTGTTTTGCTGATTATAGGTGATATCCTTGATATCCTGATTTTCATTTTGTGAAGGTGAACTAATTTCTTTTGTGTTTGACGAGTTGTACGCTGTTTCATCATTACTGGAACATTGAGGGTTATCTCCTAGGCAATCGTTATCACCAAGGTGTGGTTCTAACTTCTTCTCTTCATTATTTTCCAACGTCTCAACATCCTGATTTTCATCTTCTTCAACTAAATCAATTTCTTTCGTTGGAGTGGAAGTTATGTCCACCTCTATTTCGTCTTCGGCTCCTGAATTAAAAAACCTGTTCTTGGGAAGTTGATGGTTCCGTTCATTCAATTCCACATCGTTACAAAGTCGATCATGTGACGGTGTTCTGCTTGTGTGTGGCTCGATGGAAGCTTCGCTTCGCGTGGAGCCTTTCCGAGACATTTTTCGTTTCAGACTTCGTTTTGTATTGCTGAATCGTTTCATTATGTCTCGGCTGACTCGACGTTGTGTAGCTTTTCCATGCTGAAAAAAGCAAATTGTAATTATTTTTACAAGTTTTGTCATTAAAATTGATAGATATAATAAATTAAACTCAAATTATACTGGATGACTGGAATAGACCCTTCCAATGTTAACGACGCCATAATGAAAGACAATAGTGCAAGGGGTGCAAACACAATGGAAATCCCTATAGGTAAATTTGCAAGGAGTGCAAACAAAATGGTGAAAACAATACATTCAAGATGGCGTCTTTAACCTTGGAAGAGCGTATTACCACACAAAGATAGATTCTCCAATAACGGGGTTCCATTATGAAACACAATAGCGCAAGGGGTGCAAACACAATGAATTATCACGTTTTGACATGCACTTACTTTTGGTTGGTATTGGATATTTTCGTTGAGATTCTTGTACAGCTCCCAGAACTTTGGTCGATTAAAATTTTTAGTGCTCCAACATTTCAACATGATGTTATATCTAACAAGAGAAGAAAAGCTCTTTATACAGAATGCCCCTTCCATGCTCCCATGCCAGGGTATATTTTAACACATATACTTCCTGGGGGCCATTTCGCCCGGCAGGCGTCACTAGTAAGTGACTCAGAAAGGACCCTAAGCTTGCCTAAATCGTACTCTGAGGAGTCCACACTGGGCCCTAATTTTGGTTTTTACCAAAACTATCAGGTATCTGATGTTGAATTGTCTTAACTAAATGGTTAATTCAGCCAATGGTTGATCACCCCTTACTTTAAAGGGTCGTAACATTGGTTCTTGACCAGTGTTGATAGTTTTGATTCTTAGATTGAATTTTCGATGCATTTACTAATAATTAGTTGTGCGGTAGAAATTTGGAACACAGCTGTTGTATTTCTTGGGACGCCCTACATAATGGTGATATTTTCACCGAATTTTGCTGCACGCTGCTATACTGTATATTACAGATTCATACAAAATTCAACTCACAGAAATTTTGGGCAATCTTGTGGTCGTTTCAACTTTTTCCCACTGAGAATATAGAGAGCCACTTTTTGATCGTCGATAATATCGTAGTAGGGAAGATTTCCTAATAAAGGTAACGAAATTAAAACCAAAGGTCACAGGTTCGATTCCTACCGCGGTCAAGTAAAATTTTCAGCTTGTTCGGTGTCGACACACCCAGAGAAAATCATCTTTCGATTCCGGGAATCTTTCCCTGAACTGAATATATTTCCCTGATGTTAAACTTAAGGACCATTTCCATTCAAGAAAAGTTTTCACGGACAGAAAATTTTCCGAAAATATCATTGTTAAAGTTGAAAATTTGTGTCCGCCAATCACATTTTACAAATTTTTCTTTTCGCGGAAAATTTTCTTGAGTGGATATGGGCATTAAAGGTGCCCTACACATGTAAACAAAGCCTTTGTGTACATTTTTGTGTCCAACATATTGAGCTTTATTCGACAACTATTTATATTTTCAAGCTTCTATAGAGTATATTAATAAATGATCTAGAAACAACAATCAGGCTTTGCAAGAACCCAAAACATAGTTAAACTGTTTGTATTATAAAAAGTGGGCTCCTTTGTGCACATGCGCAGATCGGACTGTAGGGCACGTTCAACGATTCTTCAGGAAAGACCTTAGCTTCGCCCAGCCAGGTGACTTGCTGGGCGAAGCTAAGTATGAATATATTGTATCAATAGACCTGATTTATGGAAAACACGATGCGAACTGAAAGGCGCGTCTTCGAAACAAAGAAATTCATAATATTTTTGAGACGTTCTCTAGTTGGAAATGATTATTTTTCACAAGCTTTCGGCTGCCAGACTGCAGCCTTCAACGGGTAGTTATGAAATACAATGATTACAGACGATTACGGTTTACAATTACAGAGTATACGCCTACACTACGCCTACGGTTGTTTGGCACTGTAATTGTCAACCGTAGGCGTAGCGTCGTCTGTAATCATTGTATTTTATAACTACCCATTGAAAGGCCGCAGGCTGGCAGCCGGAAGCTCGTGAAAAATAAACAATTCCAACCAAAGAACGTCTCAAAAATCATTATGAATTTCTTTATGTTAAATCCTGGTCGCACTTCCAGCATGTTTAAAAGAAATTCTTCATGCAAAACAAAAAGTACTTACCATGCATGGGTGAAAGTTACTTACCATGGGTGAAAATCTCCCAAACTAGAACTCCAAACGACCACCTACAGTACAAAATAATATAATGCAAGTAGTATATATATATATATATATATATATATATATATATATATATATATATATATATATATATATATATATATATATATATATATATATATATATAGTAGAAAGATTGAAGAAGTCAGAGAGGTAAAGTGCAAACTAGAGAAGAGGGGGGGGAGATTCGAGTAAATATTTCCATGTATGACATCAAATCACGTCTCAAATATTGACATGTGAAATTTCTATATGTGAAATAAAATCAATTCTATAAAATATAGGCTACAAGCGCATTGATTTAAACTATAGTTTGAAACTTACACGTCAGTTTTTTCGTTGAACTGAAGCGATTTTATGGACTCGATTGCCATCCACCGCA